AGAAACATTTTAGTATCTTTTCAACCCCTCCTTTCTGAGTTGTACCTTAAATGGTTGCTTTCCCCTATTCTTCCATTTCTTACTTGGAGATTTACCGCTACTAGAATCAACGTTTAAATTACCACAATAGGCAAAATTGGCTTGGGGAAGTTTGACCTTAAGATCTTCCCTTTGCCTTGCATTCTCTTGCAAGAGCATGACCTTAGTATCCGAAAGAGACCATTTTCCTTAAGTTGGTTGTATGTTCACTGAAATTGATTGAAATCATCACCCTTACATGATTTCAGCATGAACTCAACCAATACCCTCTCACCAAGATCCATATCCAAATTTTTAAGTATGTTGTAGGTATCCACCATATGAATAATGTGTTTTTCCGTTGACTGATCTATAGTGTACTCTTCCCTTTGCCTTGAATTCTCTTGCAAGAGCATGTCCTTTGTATCCGAAAGAGACCAGTTTTCCTTAAGTTGGTTGTATGTTCATTGAAATTGATTGAAATCAACACCCTTACATGATTTCAGGACGAACTCAACCAATACCCTCTCACAAAAATCCATATCCAAAATTTTAAGTTGGTTGTAGGTATTCACCATATGAGTAATGTGTTTTTCCATTGACTGAGCTATAGTGTACTCTCTATTAGATAAATCATTAATAAGAGCAATAACAATAGACTTATCCACAATGTCTGTCATAGTACACTTCTTAATTTCAGCCATAAATTCCCTCACATTATCATTCTTGGGCTGAGAAGGCTTAATATTAGGCGATGTGATAAGTTTAAGAAAGCTCATCATAAGCCTATTCAATCTATCCCACAGTTTCTTGTCTGTCCCAGGACTAGTATCGGTCGGTTTAGTGGGCTCATCCATAACTAGAGCTAAATCGAGTCCCAAAAGGCCAACATTTAGCTTGACATATTCGATCCAATCATTATAGTTCTACCCATTAAACTTGATACCATTGGCAGTCATATTTGACATAGTAGAAACCACTGAAAACATTTACATCTTAAATATTAATTGCTTTGAATTTAGACCACAATTCAGACTATAACATATACGAAAACATTATATTTAAATTCACCTTTGGGCTAAATCTAAACGCAACCAACAATCATCAAACATGTATCATTCTTATAATATATATAAGGTCAATCAATAAGTTTACTTTAACATACAAGTCATCTTTGGACGTAACTTATATATTAATTAAACAAAGTTTATAACCTACTTCAATTATTATTAACCATGAGTAAGATCTACCTTTGGGTAATCGTATAACTATATATTAATAACTATAAATGTTTATTATTCTTAAATGTCATTTATGATGCTACATCAAATAAATATTTATAAACATAATATAAATCATTTAATGAATTTCGAGTGGGCCACTTTGGTGGCTAACACACTCACTAAAATATTAAAGATTTAAATCATGATCCAAAATTGTTTTATGTGATCCTACACTTGCCACAGAAATGTCATTCACCATCAAATAGGGATTATATCATTGTTCCTTATCAAATTAACAATCAATCTAACATTATTATCATAATCAATTGTCAATTTGCAACTTCAATAAGAAAATACCTAAATTTCTTATGAAACCTTTAATAAGAAAAATACCCAAATTTTTTATGAAACCTAAATTGGTGATTTAATTCTTATCAAACCTGGCTTTGAGGTCAAATGTTAAAATCAATTAGTCTTGCATGCGGAAGCAATTAACACATAGGGATCTTGATAGGGTAATTAAATAAATCAAATCAAGTTCAAGGCATAATTATTAAGAATTACATTAAAAGAAATGAAAACTTATTTGATGATTCCATTATGCTAGATGAATATCCCAAAAGCAAGAAATAATAAATATTATCCAATCTCAATATTGTATAATCATCAATTCGCCTTGTGATGATATCAAGACTTGTTTGATTCTTGATGAAAGAATCAGAACCCCAAAACAGAGAGTGTTCTTATTTTCTTTTTAAGAGAGAAAAAGAGATAGCCTTGAAAAAATTGTCAGCTATGTGACTTTTAAAAAAATTGATTCCGCTATGTTTTTTAAATCACAAAATAACCAAAGACCCCTCTACTTTTCAGTTGCACATAACACCACTCAAACTTATATTTTCACGGTATGAGACGGAGAGATTTACACATGATAATTACCTCCTCAATACTACACTAATCATCATCATGTGTACAACGACATCATTTATCAGTTACTTCAATTATATGAATCAATATTAGAAATCAAAATTTCTAACATAAGCTTATGTAAGATGAAAACCAAGGGTGGACAAATCTATCGAGTCATTATTCAGCTTATTGATAACCAAGGCAGACTCAGATTCAAAATTCACGCTTTGTCAGTGGTTCTCTTGTGCAAACTTCATTTCAACAATAAAAAGCATGAATCTCCGTAAGTCTCGCTTCTATAAAATTTGGAGTCAATAAGCCATTACCTCAATGACAAACCTACAGAATCACGAGCAATAATGCCAATAGCAGCTAATCGTCTCTAAGGGTCGAACGCTCCATCAACATTCACTTTAACATAGTCAGGATTCGGGGGTGCCACTTGCCATCTACAACATGAACTGTGGGTGCTGGTCGATAATGAGGCCATTGCGAACGCCCATTGAATTGGGACCTGGCTGATAAGTATTCCTTTCGATGATGACGAGAAGCCAGGTAGGTTGAACTTTATTATCATAAACTTTTGTGTTATGTCTGTTTCAGATATTTCACAACAAGACTAAACCTGCAAAACCTTTTGGATCTAGTGCAAAGATCACAACCTTTAACCCTTGTAATAGAGAACTAAAGTGACTATAAAGGAACGTACCTTGTATGTCAGCCAAAACAAACATTTTCTTGGGCAAATGAATAGTCACACATCGCATGAAGAATAATGTCTTCCTCTAAACCACACATGAGACAAAGACTATCACCTATTCCTATTGCCCAAATATGACGACCTATAAGAAGACTCTCATGTGTCATTTGCTTTTGAAAGTTGATTGGAATACTTGTTTACACTTTATTTGTGAAGAATGAAATTAAAAGTGTTTTAAAATTTTAATTAAGAATAAAAATGAGATTCTTAGTTCTATTAAAAGACTGTACAAGTGAGAGTTTTTAGAAAGGATATAGTGAAATTAAACCTTCACCCACAATTGTGTAGAGGGTGGGGTTCAAGATTGAGTTTATTGTTTGTTAAATTGGTTGTATTCATTTGATTTTGTAGCAGTTTGTTGTTTTTTAATTTAAATTTTAGGTTTAAGGGATATTTTTGTTCATGTAGTAAATCTAATTTATTATTTTTCGTCCTTATCGTTTTTGCATCAATTTAGCCCTCGAAATTGTTTAAGGTGTTTATCCTAGCCCTTGAAGTATGATGACTGTTTTGAGTAACAAAATTGTGAGTCTTCTACGTCTATGGATTAAGTGATTAGGTTTAAAAAAATTATTAAACACGACGATTATAACAAATTCTCAAAATTTTATGATTTATTTCAGTGAGATTAAGGGATTAGGCAAAAATTTTGTAATCGTTATATTTAGTAAATAATTTAATATTTTATTATCTATTTTTTAATAAATGTCGCGTTATCATCAAGCCACGTCAGTAATATTGGCTGATTTGGAAATTGTTGGTGTTGAAAAACACAGAAGACTAACATTTATGTTTGTCAAAACAGTCAAAACACCTCAAGAGCTAGGATGAACGCTCTAAACAACTTCAAGGGCTAAATTGATGCAAAAAAAAAAAAGCGATAGGGGAAAAATTGATAAATTAGGTTTACTATAGGGACAAAAACTATAGGGACAAAAATGACCCTTAAGTCTAAATTTTAATACATATATTTTATTAAAAAAAATTCAAACTCATATTTTGTCAATTTTGAGTGAATTTCATGAAAACTAATTCTAGGAGAAGAAAGATGAGTGAAATATGAATATTTTTGTATCAATTTTACTGCAAAAGACAATCGATGATCGGTGATGATTGATTGCTAATGGCAGTTGAAAAGTGTAGTACCAAAAAAATAAATTTTTAAAAATTCACTAGTAAAATTGATACACTTCTAAAGTTTAATGTCTAAAACAAATTCATTTTAGGCATCAAAATAATCTTACCATAATGATGTTTTTTAGTGTTACATGCCACTTCAACAACCATTACTCATGTCATTGTTCCTTTATTGATTTAATGACACAATCACATAATTGAATGTAAAACTAAATTTCATTATTATAATTGACAAAATTAAAAATTTAGTGGTTTAAATGAATTAGCGGACAAAGTTTAGTGATATCTAGTGTAATTTACCCTAAAAAGTACATAATAAAAGTCAAAATAAAAGGGTAAACTACATGTTTAGTACCTAAATTATTATTTTTATTTCATTTTGGTACCGAAACTCTATTTTTGTTTCATCTTAATATCCACCGTTAAAATCTTAATAGTAATATTGTCATGTCACCATAAAGTAATGACATGTCACAGGGACGGATGCACTATGCCCCTTGGGAGCAAGTGCATCCCCTTTATTTTAGAAAAATTATAAAAGTTATTTTAATATATTAAGAAGAGAAAAAAATAAGAAAATTCACATACTCAATTACTTTTAAAAAATATATTTTAAAATTTTAGACCTTAATTTTTTAATTTCCATATCTGTCACTACTACATTTTTATTGAAAAATTTAAAAATGTTACGTCAAAAATTTTATTATTTTTGAACGATAAGATACCAAAATAAAATCTAAACTAAATATTAAATATGATTTTAAAAAATAAAACTTAAATAAAAATAATAATTTAATTACTAAACGTATAATTTATAAAAAATAGCATACAATTAAGTGAGGTTATTTAATTTGCAAAAGTCCTTGACATGCAATGTAATTTAATGGCGGCAGAACAGTTTTATTTTTTACGCTCCTAATTTTATTCTTATTTCTTCCGTTTATTACCCCATTTCCTTCATTGCAACAAACCGTCCGCTTCTTTTGGTGTATATTGTGCAATCGATCAATGGTTTCGCCCCTCCACGAAAGCCCTGATTCCATCCGTTTTCAAAATCATTTGTCTGAGATGCCTTTTATTGGACCCCCATCACTCTCAATTTCCACAACTCACACACAATAATCAAGTTCGCCTTCCTGTTTTTAGCTGGAGACCAACCGCATTGCGATCATCGTCATGTTTGAGGCCCAGGTAAGCTTCTTTTCATTCTTCTTTTTATATGTATATGCGTATATAATTTTAACGTTAGTAGTCGTACCTTACTGAATTTATATAGCTCGAGAATGTTATCGGAACTTGGAAGCTTATAAAATTTGATGTTGCTTTATTCATCAATCGGCAATTAAATTGTTATAGTTTCATAAGTATATGTTAAGAATCTAGAGATTGGAGTAACCTAATTTAATGTTTTGTTTTAATTAGATAATTTGCAACCATTGTAAAGTAGAATAGGAAACGAGGTGTGAGCCTGTGAGGTGATCATAACATAGACATAGTATATAACAGCTGCGTAGAGATGATAAGAGCGACAAAACGATAAATTAGGGTCAATTTTTTTTACCTGGCAGTTTGATTTCCATTTGTTTCTCGTATTCACGTATTCAATCATCATACGTGCCTGACCTATTTTGTTTTGTTTGTAAAATTTGCACCTGTTACTACTTATAATGGTGCCTTACGACAGTCAGCACTTGTTATAGTATAAGTTGTTTCTAGCTTTCTTTCAATGTTTCTGAATCCGTGCATATTGTTCCTTATTTGTAGGCTCTGCATTTGATTCGAAAATACTTGGGAGAGTATGTTCATGATCTCTCATTAGAGACATTAAGGATCAGTGTTTGGCAAGGTTCCTTCACAAATACTGTTTGTCCTTGCTTACATTTCTTTATTTCTTGTTTTTCCCCATATGTTTGAGCTACAATTGTTACATGAAGGTTTCTTATGAAAACAACTTGAGAAGTGAAACATGATGACACCGTTTTACAAACTATTCTCCCTTCCTACAGGTGATGTTGTCCTCGAAGATTTAAAATTGAAGGCAGAGGCACTAAACTCTTTAAATCTTCCGGTTTCTGTCAAAGCTGGTGTAGTGGGCACCATAACTCTAAAGGTAGCTATTTTTGTCATTAGGGTTTATTTTATTTTCTGTTGGGTTTATGTTCTGAAACTTCTGCATTGGCAAGAAATCCTACTGAAATTAGTATGCTGTAGGTTCCTTGGAAAAGTTTGGGTAACGAACCTGTGATTGTTCTCATTGATCGCATATTTGTTCTTGCTCACCCAACTCCTGATGGACGGAATCTTAAAGTAATGATTTTTATTTGTTTATATATAAGTTTCCTATTGTCAGAGCTGTATCTTTTTCTAATTTCCATGTGAAATCTTATTTTAACATTGTACAGGAGGAGGACAGGGAAAAAGTTTTTGAAGCTAAAATTCAACAAATTGCGGTAAATCTTTGTTTTTTGATAACAAATACACATATGTTGCTTATAACCTTGTGTGCATGATATCATTGTGTTTCCCCTAAGTATATTCTTGTTCAAACACTTATATTGCTTATAATATTGTGTATATAGTATCATTGTTCCCTCCAAGAATAATCTTATTCAAAAGTTTACTTATAAGAATAACTTTTTTCCCATGTCAAGTTTGTGACCATTGACAAGAATCCTTAATGTACTGATGTTTTGATGCCAAAGGTTTTCAAGATTTTGTTGAAACTTGGACATTAGAGGCTTCTTCTCCTCCTCCTCCTCCGTCTTTGACCCTTTCCATAGCTATTCTATATTTTCTCCTACTTATTTATTAGTGGCAGTGACTTTTTTAGAGAACCATTGGTTATTTTTCTGTTCTTATGCTGTGCTCTTTGGAATGTTTTCCCTTGTTTGATGTCTATAACTCTATATTTGCTGTGTAGAGATCTGTTACTGGAGCTCAGATTTACAGTGCACTTAATTTCCTTAACATCAACTATGCAGGAAGCAGTTTTGATACTATTGCATGTCCCTTTGTGAAATTTTTTATTGCCTGTAGGAAGCAGAATCAGCAACTCTGGAAGCGATATCTGGGTCGAAGCTGGAAAGTGTATGTCTTAGGATGTTAGGAACATTTTTTCTTCCTATGATTACTGCTTTATTTTGCTTTTATGATTTAATAAGGTATCTCCATTTTTTTTATCGGGTTATCGCTAATATACTTTTATATTCTTCCTGGTAAAATGTCGGTGAATGGCTCTTTGTATGTGAACTGTTTTATGTGTATATCTTTCATATATCATTTACACAGTTTGTTTTAGTTTTATTAGTTAATAATGTATCAGAAAATAGATTCCTAAATTGGAAATATTATGTAATTGGATAGGATTATGTGAATGTCTTTTTAGTAGTTACAATCCCAAACTTTAAGGTGGCATTTGGTTTGTTGGAATCCCTTGGAATTAGGGGGAATTGGAATCCAATTCCACCACTTTCTCATGTTTGGTTCAAGTTTTCAAAGGGGGAATTGGAATCCAATTCCATCAAGGGAGGGAAAGTAAATTCCATAAAGGGAGGGAAAGTAAATTACATCCATAACATGATGGAATTAAAATCCTTTGGAGGAGGGAATGTGAAATTTGACCATACTACTCTCATCAATCTTTTGGTATTCGGATAGGATTTTTTAAAAAAAATTTGGGATAGGGTCGGGTCGGGTTTTTTTAAGTTTGATATTTGGGTCGGGTCGAGTCTGTTTTTTTAAGTGTGATATTCGGGTCGGGTTCGGGTTTAGGGTGAAAAATACCTGACCCGACCCGAAAAAAATATAATTTTACCTTATATATTTAGGAATAATTACAATAATACCTCTCTATATACAATTTTTTTCAATTAAGTCACTGTTTTTATTGAATAAAAATAAATTTTTTATTATTTCGGGTCGGGTTTCTAATTCATATATTCGGGTCAGGTCGGGTGAAATTTTATTTCAATCGGGTCGGTTTGGGTCTCGGGTGGAGGTTCCCTTATTCTCGGGTCGGGTCGGGTGGACCAAAAACCCGACCCATGACCATCCCTAATTGGGATGATTTTAACTTATGATGTTTATTAGTATGATTTTTATAATTTATTGAAATGAATAATCAATCAATAAAATGAAAATTTAATATTTTTTAAATTTTTATAATATATTGCTACATGTAAGTTATAAAACAAACTAAAAGTAAGCAAAAAAATAAGGACAATTCTGTCATTTTATATTACTGAAATCAAATTCATCTGACATATCTGCGAACCAAGCAGAATATGGAATTGAATTCCAATTCAATTTCCTGCCAACCAAAAGGGTTTCAGATTCAGATTCCAATTCCTTCACAGATTCCAATTCCCTCAGAAACATTCCAGCGAATCAAACGTCACCTAAGGGATTGTATCCTTCCCTAGAATTAGTTACTTTCCTAGCTTAAGAGTTTCATAAGTTAAGACTACAACTTGCGTATAAATATGTAACACATCCTGCAGAACCTCCTGCAGAACCTTCAGCTGGAGAGAAATCGTTGTCCTGTAAGATTTCCCCCCTGATTTTCCTTAACATAGACTGAGTAATCTTGTCCATTTTGACTTCCTGTAGAAATAAGAAAGAGGGTCTCTTGCTTGAGATTATTCTCTGAATTGCTCTTTGTTTCTCCTTCATTCCCAATCCCTTGTTGTTTCAAGTTACGATAGATAACTTTGACATAATCTAAGATTGAAGCAACGATGGTATCATCTACCCCCATTTTCTCTCGACTTCTCTTCTTAACTTATAATTTTCTCTAAAAAAGTCTTTTTTCCATCCTTAAAAGAAATCCCCAGCATCTTGCTTATCTCCCACGTAGCCAAAGCTTTATCTAGGAACTCTGAGAAAGATGAGGAAGAGGCAGTAGAGGTGCTGAACTGACCAAGAGCTTTCGCTATTAGGTTTCTTTTGGTCCTTCTGTATACTTTGTCAAAGAATCCTATATGGGCCTTTTGTTTCAACAGAATTGGGATTAAAAGGGACAATCTGATTTTGGCACTCTATGTGAGTCCTTTGTTCAATGGAATTGGGATTAACAGATTGCAACTTTTTTGGGTTTGTGAAGTCAAGCAAGTTAGCTAGCCCAAAGTTATTTGCTGTATCCATCTGGTTTTGGTTGTGGCCCAAATCCTCATTTACTTCTGTCTGTTTCTGTACAACAGGTTCAATTGGCCCAACATTATTATTATCCTCTCTAGCCCGGTTTTTGATTTGGTCCAACCTTTCTGTCCCCGTGGCCACGTGTTCTAAGGAGACAACCTGAGCATTACTACCCGTCATTCTCCTCTGTCAATACCTGTGAACAGGGCTCTTATGGGGGGTTTGGTGTGTAAGCCAAAGAAGTTGGGGGTTTAGGGATTTCGAATATGTTGCTATTAAACAGGGCTCTTATGGGGAAATGGGTGTGGAAATTTGCTGCAGAGAAAAATTCTCGGTGGAAATCAGTTGTGTGTTGTGTTTACAATATGGATCCTAATTCATTGATGAACCGGAATACTTGGACAGCTCGTACTTCTTGGATTTGGAGAGGAGTTAAGAACTTTTAAAGTGATGCATTTGGGGACTGTTTTAGGAGAAATTTGTGTGTTAGAGCTGGAAATGGAGAAACTGTTCAGTTTTGGCATGATGTTTGATTGGGTTCGGTTCCTCTAAAAGATAGGTTTCCAAGGTTATTTTCTCTTTCGAATAACAAAGAGGGTAAGGTTGCAGAATTCAGATTGTACAATGATTAGGGTTGGGTTTGGGATATTCAAATGAGAAGGAATTTGGTGGATTGGGAGGCTGAGCAGTGGCTGCAAATTATCTCTCTATTGAATAGCTCTTCTTTGTCTCTAGTAGAGGAAGATTGTTGGATTTGGTTGGGAAATGGAGAGGGTGTTTTACAGCAAAATCATTCATGAAAACTTATTTTGATAGAGAGGGTATTGATCAATTAGAAAGTAATTGGGAAAGGTATGTTTGGAAAGGAGTAGCTCCACCACGTGTGGAATCTTTTGTATGGCAACTTGCTCATCATAGAGTTGCGGTGAAAGAGGAACTGCTGAAGAGAGGAGTTACTGGGGTTGAAGACTCTGTCTGCCCTATGTGCAGGAAGTACAATGAGTCGGTTTCTCATTTGTTTCTTCACTGTGAAGTGGTATGGGTTTTGTGGGCTAAGTTTTTAAAGTTATGGAATGTTTTCTTTGTGGTTCCTGGTTCGTTGATGGATTTCTTAATTGTCTGGGATGACTTAGTGCCGCGATCTCATATATGAAAGTTTATTTCAAGAGCAGTGTTGTGGTCTGTTTGGAAATATAGGAATGAGGTGATTTTTCATAATGGGAAGGTAGATTCAGCGTTGTTGTTCTTCATTTCACGTTTCAGAACTGTTTCTTGGTTTGAAACATCAGTTAAGGATGTTCATTTTCATTTCGATTCCTTGATGGGGGATTTAAAACTAGCAGATCAACATGTCAATCTGAATAAGAGGTATCTTCCTTCTTCTAGGTGGAGTCCTCCTACGGAAGGGTTCTTAAAACTAAATGTAGATGGTGCAATGGTCAAAGGTTGGGATAAGGGTGGAATAGGTGGCTTGATTAGGGATGGCAGTGGGTTGGTGCTTGGGTCATTTTCAAAGAAGGTAGGGGGAGGTCCTCCCTTACTCGCAGAGCTTTTGGCGATCAATAGAGGGTTGATTCTTATTGAGGAAGTTGAAGCTGATTTCTTTTCAAATCAGAGGATCATTTTGGAATCGGATTCTTCTAATGCTTTGAAGTGGATTAATAATCCGAACCTTAGTACTACTTTGTTTCAATCCTTGGTAAGGGATATAGCTTCTACTGTGGAGAGGAAGGGTATTATCACAAGGCTCATCTCGAGAGCAGCAAATTGGGAAGCGGATGAATTAGCTAAAGCTAGTATAGGCTGATTTTTAGGTTTGTGTAATGGTTAAGGTGTTATGCCTTGGTTGTTCTTATTTAGGGAGTATTAGGGTGTGTTATGTTTTCAGATTTATGGTTTTCTGTTTTGTAAGAAGTTGTTAGTTGTTGAGGTGTGGAGGTGTATTATTGTTCTAATTAATAAAAGTTAGAGGCACTCTTTTCGTCCTTCCAATGTCCTTCATGTTATGTTTGTAACATGTAGGATAAGAAGGGGTTTTTAATGAGGCCTTATTTTATCAAAAAAAAAAAACCCTGTGAACACCTCGGTGTCCCCGAAGAGGAGAATTCTGCCTCACACCTTTGTCCATCATCATGTCCACCCGTCCTGAGATGTGCGATGAAACTGTCATTTTGGTTCTCATTAATCTCTTTTTCACCCGAGGCTGATCTAATTGGTGTAATCCTCGAGACAGTGTTTTCCAACCTACCATGACTACCACTTGTCTGGTTATCATTGAGCCATTCAACTACTCTGTTATGAGTTTCAAGTTGAGATGGTTGGGTGCCATCAGCCACCTGGGGGATCCGATCACCGTGAGCCTCCTCTGCCGATGAGTCAGATTTCCCTTCTGGGTCTTCTTTTGAGTTCTGGGCATAACCATCTTCTGGTTTTAAAATCGCCGATCCAATCTTGATTCCGATCTTATAAGTCATGCCTTCCGAGAGAATAGAGACTGAATCTGAGATATCAAAAGGACTCAAAATTCTCATCATCAACTTAGCTATTGTGAGATCCCTTTTCTTAACTGTTTCCTCCCTTATACCAACCAACAGACCCCAACGACTTGCTAAGTTAGTGAACAGAGATTCATGCCAATAGTTTAAAGGCACACCTATTAATTCAACATAACAATAAGCCATTGGAGAACCTATTTCCATAACCAGACGGTATAAACAGTCAAACCAGTAGAACAATTCAGTCTTCTTATTTAACCAAGCTTCTCCAAGTTTTTCCTCTGATTGAAAGGTGACGATGACCGAATTCCACGTATAACCCCATCTTGTTATTTTAACGTCTATTCCATCGTTGTGCAGGCCTTGTCGTACAAGGTCGATCTCATAATCAGATTTCATGACACCTATTAGAGACAGTTTTAGCCACTCATTCTCCTTTGCTGGAATGAAGACGCTTAACGGCTTTTCGACTTCTTTGACTGCTCCTTGATTAGCTACTGCATCCTTGTATGATTCTGTTTCTGATTATAGGGATTTTGATTTTCCTATTGCAATTAAAAAAGGAAAAAAGAACTTGCACCACAAAAATCCCTCTTTACCTATTTATGTCCTACAAGAACTTTTCCCATAATTACAAGGCCTTCCTTACTAGCCTAAATACCATTGTCATTCCAAAAAAAATGTGTTCGAGGCATTAGAAAATAAGAATTGGAAGAATGCCATGCAAGATGAGATGGAAGCACTTGAGAAGAACAAAACATGGGATTTGGTGGAATAGTTAGAAGGGAAGAAAACAGTGAGGTGTAGATGGGTGTTTACAGTAAAGTACAAATCAGACGATTCTTTAGAGAGGTACAAGTACTGGGCAGGCAGGCAGTGTGCAGATTAAAGAAGGCTTTGTACGAGCTAAAATAGTCCATGAGGGCATGGTTTGGAATTTACCAAATTGATGTTGAGACTGGGCTACAAACAAAGTCAAGGTGATCACACTTTATTTGTGAAACATTTTTCTTTAGGGAGAGTTACTGGTTTATTGGTTTATGTAGACGATATCATAGTTACAGGTGATGATTTGAATGGAATTGATGACTTAAAGAAGTTTTTGGTGAAAGAATTTGAAGTCAAAGATCTTGGAAGACTAAAATACTTCCTTGGTATTGAAGTAGCACATTCACAGCAAGGGATCTTCATATCACAACAGAAATACACCCTAGACTTTTTGACAAAAACTAGTAAATTAGGATGCAAACCAGCATAAACGCCAATGAAGTTAATCACAAACTTGGAGATACAATAGAGGATGCAACAGTTGATAGAAGTTCATATTAGGGACTTGTGGGAAGACTGATTTACTTATCACACTAGACCCGACATTAGCTATGCAGTTGGAGTGTTGAGCCAATTTATGCACAATCCTAAAGAATCACACCTAAAGGTAGTGAATCAAATCTTATGGTATTTGAAGGGCACAACAGGCAGAGGAATTATGTTTAAAAAGGGAGAAAATTTGACTTTGGAAGTCTATATTGATGCATACTATGCAGGGTCCATTGTTGATAGAAGATCAACTTCAGGATACTGCACCTTTCTTGAAGGAATTTAGTGACATGGAGAAGCAAAAAGCAGAATGTGGTGACTAGATCCAGTGCAGAAGCTGAGTTTAGAGCAATGACACTTGGGATTTATGAATTGTTGTGGCTTAAGATTATTTTGGAGGATTTAAAGATTAAATGGGAAGAACCAATGAAGTTGTACTATGATAATAAATCAACAATCAATATTGCTCATAATCCGGTTCAACATGACAACACAAAACATGTTGAAATGGATAGGCATTTCATAAAGGAAAAACTTGACAGTGGACTAATTTGTACTCCCTATGTGTCCACTGGAGATCAAGTTGCAGATATACTTACCAAGGGACTTACCTGGGAAGTATTTTCAGAAGTTAGCAAGCAAGCTGAAGATGGAGGACATCCATTCTCAGCTTGAGGGGGAGTGTCAAATAATAGATTCTTAAATTAGAAATATTATGTAATTAGATAGGATTTTGTGAATATCTTTTTAGTAGTTACAATCCCTAACTTTAAGGGATTGTATCTTTTCCTAGAATTAATTACTTTCCTAACTTAAAAGTTTCCTAAGTTAAGACTACAACTTGCGTATAAATATGTAACACATCCTACAGAAAATATATAAGTTTTCACAGAGAATTACTACTTTTGACATAATGCATTCGTTCTCACTTAATATGGTTCTTTTTACAATTTATTGCGACTCATTGCTAGCTCTTATTTCCCCCTCTGTTTGAGTTTATGTGCAGCCATCTCCTGGAAATTCATGGCTTGGTTATCTGGTTGCTACAATTGTTGGAAATCTGAAGATAACTATCAGCAATGTACATATCAGATATGAGGATTGCATCAGGTGGTGGTTGTGTGCTATTTTTAATGTTTTCATATGACCATTTTCAGTTTTTTTGTTTTTCTTAAGCTTTGTAAACCAAGTTAGGTTAACCTTTCAATCTCTTGATTACTTACATATTTGTCTTTGTTGTCCTTTACTGACCAGATCGCTTTGCTTTTAATTGACTGTAATCTTGTAGTAATCCTGGTCATCCGTTTTCTTCTGGTGTTACCCTGGCTAAGCTTGCTGCTGTTACTATGGATGAGAAAGGGAATGAGACCTTTGATACCAGTGGTGCTCTTGATAAGTTGCGTAAGGTCAGCTCTTTATTTTTTTTTCTTTCCATATAACTCATGCTACCGTCCTTTCGAAATATAGGGTCTGAATCAAAATAGAGTTCTGTTTACTGGCATTGTTTTCCCTTGTTCTTAAAGCTAATAAGTTTACTTTGGAAATTTCTCAAGAAAAGATGACAGCTGTGTTTGAATTTTAAATAAAATCCGGTTTGATTAATGGTGATTGCCTTTTCAAGTTGTAATGATCAAAGGTTCCTGTTCTGATGTTTCAACCTCTGTTGTATGTTCGCTTAGTGCATTACTTCGAATTCTGAGGGGTTGGAATGGATGTATGAATCAATTAATCCATGATATGGGCTACTTAAAGTTGTGACATTAAATGCATTTTTATGGTTACTCAATGTCATAGCGTATAGCTTCCATCAAAGTGGTATGAGGCTTCTTGAATTGCAGATGAATCTCATTAGTAGCTCATGGGTTAGGCAAACATTTTCTTTGCATTGAATTATTGCAACTCAATTAAAAAATATGATCTATAGTTTGGATATCATTCCATATTTGAAGAGGAGAAAATGTCAAACTAGGTCGTGAAAGTGGCTGGCATAATCTAAACAAGTCCATATGCATGCCAAAACTGAAGAATGAAGACCAATTTCAACCAATGTTTGTCAATTTTTTTTGATAGGAAAGTGGCCTCGTTAAAAAACCCCCTTCTTAACCGTCAAATTTAAATGAAAAGAAGATGGTGGGCACATTCTTCTCTTGAACATTTAGATTTTTCCTGCTTTTCCTTTTAGGTTTAGTCTTTGCAAATTGTTTGTCATGATTGCTACTGCTTTCTTTTGTTTATGCTAATGCTTGTGTAGTTTGTTTTCAGTCTTTGCAACTGGAGAGGCTTGCTATGTATCATAATTCGGATAACCTGCCTTGGAAGATAGATAAGAAATGGGAAGATCTTAGTCCCAAAGAATGGGTTGAGGTTTGACTCATATGTGGAATTATTATCTTATTTTCTTCCATAATTCCATAGTTTTCATTGTAGCTGGCGAAGGTTAACTGAAACATTACAATAAATTTTATGTCATTTATTCTTCCGATTTTTTTTGCTTAGCCAGGTATTTGGAGATGGTATAAACGAACCTCCTGCTGACAGTGAAGTGGTATCTATGTGGGCTATGAATCGCAATTACTTGGTGTCACCAATCAACGGAGTACTCAAGTATCATCGACTTGGAAATGAAGAAAGAAATGACCCAGATATCCCTTTTGAGAAGGCTTCTCTTGTCTTAAGTGATGTCTCCTTGACTATTACAGAGGTTTCTATACTTTTTTTTTCATGTATATTTTTAATTTCTCCATTCTATTCAAGTCTTGAGTTTCACCTGTTTCTCCCTTCCTCAGGCACAATATCGTGATTGGATAAAACTTTTAGAAGTTTTTTCAAGATATAGGACATATGTTGAAATTTCCCATTTAAGACCTTTGGTTCCAGTTTCGAAGGAGTCTTATGCTTTGTGGTGGCGGTATGCAGCTCTGTCGTCATTGCATCAGAGAAAACTGTGGTACATAAATTGCACTTTTTTGCAAATATTTCAATTTGATAATTACTCATAAGGGTGCATCTTGTTTGATAATCTGAAAAATTACACTTGAATTAAATATTTTTTTCAAGATTGGTTATATATATATATTTCATCTGCTTTGTGAGTAAAATTTTCCCTCGCTTAACTATTTCAGCTATCGGTTCTCATGGGATCAAATTCGGCATATGTGCCAGCTTCGTCGACTTTACATTCACTTGTATGCCGGTTTGCTACAACAGTCATCACGTCCTGAAAACTTAGAAATTCGAGACATTGAGAAAGATCTTGACTCAAAAGTAATTCTTCTATGGAGGTAACAAGATTTAGCCTTGCTTAACTCTCAGCTCCCCCCTCTGAAGTGAAGTCAAAACTGGCCATTGATTTGACGGAAAACTGTGTTCTTTGTTGAGTTAAGAAATTAGTTAAGCAATTACTAAAATAATTCATTTAAGCTCAAGTGACAATTAGATAGGGTAGCTTACAAAAAGCAATAGTAATCATGCATGGCATAACAACTACTGCATTAATTTATCAGGCTGATAACTTTTATGCCTTTTTTATGTAAATTAGTTTTCAAGGTCCTGTATCAATGTCTGTTTCTGTTTGATGTATGGTGTATGTAGTAACCACCACAGCCAATGAGAAGCATTGTCAAAGCTTCAACTGCGGTTGTGCTTTTACGCTAATATTCTTTCTATTTATCTTGTATTTATGCAATCAATTTCTCTTTGAAAATGGAAAGGTTTTTGTCTGAGTAGTTTTTAGAAATTATATGATGGTGAAACCTCTTGTGAAGCACGTCCATAGCTGCACACTTGCTGTACCATTAAATTATCCTAATGTAATATGGTCATGCATTTGATGTGGGTGGACATTTGTTAAATGCCTCCAGATATGCATCGATTCTGAATGTTCTCTTGGTCTGGCCCTTTGCCATAACTTTTCTTTTTGTTCAAATACTCTCCGGGGATTACCATTATCTATGTTTGCTCCATTATGTATATTAAAATTTTATCCAATTGTTGAATAGGTTGCTCTCAGTTTGTGTATGTAAATATGTTATTAGAAGTGATCAAAGGTAATGTTCAGTTCATAGTTTAACAATATTTCATGTTTAAGCAAGCCCTTCCGTTCAACTTTTTCAATTTCTACTTGTATCAATCAGGTTACTTGCACATGCGAAGGTTGAATCTGTGAAGTCTAAGGAAGCAGCTGAACAGAGAAGGCTTCATAAGAAAAGTTGGTTTACATTGGGATGGTAAGTGGAAATGTAATAGGATCACTTTGTTATTCAGTTCTATGATTATTATTTCTTCCCCAAAATCCCCCCCGCCCAGCCCCCTTACTAATGTCATTTTGCAAATTCTATTCAACTTAATCTCAGGAATGCACAATCTGAAGATACATCTGATGGTGATGCTTTTGATGGATCACAATTTACGGAGGAAAGGATGAGTAAAGAAGAATGGAAAGCAGTCAATAAGTTACTCAGTTACCAGCCAGATGAGGAATTGGTGTCATATTCAGGGAAGGACATGCAGAACATGATCCAATTTTTGGTAACTGTATCTATTAACCAAGCTGCTACGAGGATCATCAACATAAACCAGATGGAGATTGTTTGTGGTAGATTTGAACAACTCCATGTGTCAGCAAAATTTAAACATCACAGTACCTACTGTGACGTAACGTTAAGATTCTATGGTGTCTCAGCCCCTGAAGGTCCACTTGCTGAGGTTTGTTTGAGTACCACATTAAGGATAACTAAAGATATCCAATTAAGATGAATAGCATAGAGGATCTTATAATCATATCAACCTGTTCATTGTTTTTATTTTAGGTATCAAGCATGTTTTAATAGATTCAAAATTGTTTGTGCTGCCAGATGGAATATATATGTTTGTGTGTGTATTGCCTGATATTGGTCTTTCATCTGCAGAGTGTCTGCAGTGAGCAAAAGGTGAATGCATTAACTGCTAGCTTTGTACAGTCACCTATGGGAGAGAATGTTGATTGGAGGTTGTCAGCTACAACTTCCCCCTGCCATGTTACGGTAAATTTCTTTGATCCTAGAAGGAAAAGGGATTTCTGGGTTTGCATCATCTTACAAATGGATATAGTTACTTGCATTACTCATCTTGACTTGTGCTTTGTATCTTGTGCAATTGATAGTATCTTATAGACCCCTTAACTATAACAATACTGTTCTGATGATCTCCAGAATTGGCTCCAAGCCTTTTCAGTGAGGATGATGATGATCAATATGAGAGAGTGACAATCCTTTATAGATTCATAAAACCTCTCAACTTGGTTTAAGGAAAGAGAATGTGGCAACAAAAAGGGTAGTCCATTACTGACTCATCAAATGTCTAACTGGCGGCTGTCTTAGGGGTTATATAGTTTGTATTCAAATCCCTGTGGAGGTAACAGAGGAAACTCTGCACCTCCACTAGATCTTCTGAGACCTTCTGGAGGCCCTTAGCACTCTAAGCCATTACAAATTCCATTCTAATTCATGACAAAACCATCATGTTCATGTTCTAAAAGTCCCTTAACGTTTGTCTTATGGCTTTTGTAGGTTTTGAAGGAAAGTTATGATCGTTTTTCTGAGTTTGTGAAGAGGAGTAATGCAGTTAGTCCTACTGTTACACTGAAAACCGCTAGTAAATTGCAGGTAATAGCATTAATAGAATGAGAATAGCAATATCCTCTATATCCTTTATGCTGATCATTATTTAAAACCAATTGCAGACGAAGATCGAAAAAGTGACTCGTCGAGCACATGAGCAGATTCAGACGGCGCTTGAGGAGAAAAGCAGGTTAAATGCTTTCCATTTGTTTGATCATTTTAATATTTGTCCATTTTTATCACAATATATTATGTTTATGCTTTGTATCTCATTTGACATGCCAATTGGAAAATATACAATGTCATAAGACAAGTAACGCATTATATATATATATATAACAAGGTACACTATAAATTAGGACAAAAAATAACCCATGCATTTTAAATATTACTTTTGTGCAATAATTTATATAGACAAAAATTATCCCTTTACTTATCTAAAGATACATTCTCAAATTTAAAATTTTTAAAAAAATAATCAGTTATTTATAACTCCAAAAGGAAAAAGTAGATATATAAAAAGATAATATTTTTTGTTTCCCTACTTTGTATACAACTAACCATTTATCGAGCAAATTTAATTGTTTAACTATATAATATATTTTATTTTTAAATTGTAATATTTTATATTCTAATGGATATGATTTGCAAAAATGGTTCAATATAACTTATACAAAGTAAAAAAATAGGTCAATATATAAATGTACATTAAATTATCAAGCAATTAACCTGATAAAATTAGAGGTTTAGAGGGTATTATTCGCTGGTGCAACAAATGTGGAGGCAGACACCTTAGCTAAGGCAGGAATTGGTTGAGAGAAGGTTCCATGGATTAGGGGTGGGGTGTGGAAATTAGAGTTTTAAGAAGATTTGCGTAAGGAGAGCAAAGTGTTGTACTAGAATCATTGTACTACTGAGTTTGATATTAATAAAACCTTGAGGTACTCTTTTCCTCCTCCCGTTTTTTGTTAAAATCCACCTGGGTTTTAGCAATTATGAAAGGGCTTTGTAATGAGGCCTCCAATTTTTATAAAAAAAACATGTGCATTGCACTGGTTTACAAACTAGTTATGATCAGGGATTTAAATTGCGGTTGCGTTTTTGGTTGGGTTGTGTTTATCGTAGTTTTGGACATAACAAATGCTATTGCATGTATTGCGGTCGTGAATTTTTTTTCCCAAGGAGTTGATTTTTAAAAAAAAGGAACTGGTTTTTTTATAAAAAAATTAAATAACGGAACAATAGCAGCCCGCTACTGCCGCAATTGGCCGCTATCTGTTAAATTACGGCTGCGATCCACCACTATTGGTGTGATTCAGCTTCACACCCCTGTTTTCCACGATAGCAGTTTCAGCCGCCACCGCTACTGCTATATAGCGGCCGCTATTATCCCTGGTTATGATATAAAGGGATTGAATTCAAGAAACGTGTCATTGAAATGATTGTTTATTTGAGAATGCATAGCTGTGGATGAGTAAATAGATGAAAGACTATATAATTGTTGGCATTAGTTAGTTTTTGTTTGACATAAATTGAGACAACATGAGGCGAAGTTAGCTAAAATTATTTACTTTTCTGCTTGGTTTCTCAGATTTGCTCTGGACATTGATCTTGATGCTCCAAAAGTTAGGATTCCTCTAAGGGCACGTGAATCTTCCAAATGCGACAGCCATTTTCTTTTGGATTTTGGTCATTTTACATTGCATACCATGGTATGTGTATTAGCTATTGATATCTCCAATTTTCATTAGTTACCTTTCTTTGGTTACTTCATTAATCTTTATGACAGGAGAGTCAGTCTGATGAACAGAGGCAGGATATTACTCTCACTTCTACATATCAGGAAGGGATATTGCTGCTTTTTTCACAGATTGTGGTTCTGATTGCCAGAACTGCACTTTGGTGAAGCCAAATTCTAGTGATCAATCAACGGTGATGTCACCTAGGTTGGAGAAGGTTGACAATTTTTATTCTCTTATTGATAGGTGTGGGATGAAAGTAATTGTTGACCAAGTATGTTTTTCTTTTTTTCTTTTTTGCATCTAGATGAGTTTCATATTAAAGTTCTAGAAAGAGAACTCATTAAGTTATATTTTTGTATCATATTGCAGATCAAGATTCCTCACCCAAGTTTCCCACCCACACGTGTTTCTGTTCAAGTGCCAAAACTTGGCATTCACCTTTCTCCCGCAAGATACTGCAGACTTATGGAACTTCTGAACATATTGTATGCTGCTATGGATGCCCGTGTTCAACCTAGTGTTGTTGATTTCCAAGCTGGAGTGGCTTCTTGGAGTGCTACAGATCTTGCTACTCATGCTAAAATCCTAGTTTGGCGGGTTGACTTCTAACTCCATTGTAAAAGCTAGTTCTATAGTTGCTACTTGCTTTCCATACGCATCTGATTTTATCCATTATTGTCTCTGTTGGTTCAGGGTATTGGAAACTCTATTGCTTCGTGGCAGCCCTGTTATGTCGTTTTATCTGGATTTAATCTTTATGTCTTGGAATCTGAAAAATCTCAAAATCACCAGCGGCACTTGAGGTTTGGAGCTTTCTTTGTCTTTGCTGCTGTTCGTTAGCTATTAGGTTGCTATTCTGCAGGATGGTAGTTTTGCAGCCTCAACTTTTTGAAATTTTATTGTTTTTTTTTCACATTTCATTTGATTATTGATATGTCATTTTTGGCAGCTTTATTCTAAATTTTAATTTTGGAATCCTGCAGCATGGCTGGAAGACAGTTGCATGAGGTTCCACCAACGAATATTGGTGGGTCTCCATTTTGTATCGCTGTGAGCCCAAGAGGGGTGGACACTCAGAAAGTGAGTCACTTGGTTTTGTAAGCAAAGAATTGTTTTTTCACTAGATGATTCATTAAACCGAACCAGAAAAATTCCATCTTTCATTTTTTGCTGGTTGTCTCAAAGAATCCGTTCAAATCTAATTCTTGAAATCTTTTAATTAGCACACTCGAGTGAATGGATGCTGCTTTAAATTATAAGAGTCTTCCATTTTGTTTTCTTTCATTAATACAAACATGAATATCTTTTCCAGGTTTTGGAGTCATCAGGTACCTGGGTTATTGAATTCCGAGGGGAGGAAGAGAAGGTCACCTGGTTGAGAGGACTTACACAAGCCACTTACCAAGCTTCTGTATGATGATGATATAGTTTTCCCTTTAGTTGTTTGTATTTTTCTTCTAGCCTCTTATTGCTTGGATTTCGTATTCATGTAGGCACCTCCACCAGTTGATGTACTAGGAGAAACAAGTGCTGATATAAGTGAAGACGATGATCCTCAAACAGGAAATTCAAAGGCTGTTGATCTTTTTATTAGTGGGGAATTGGTGGAGACAAAGCTGTGCATATATGGGAAGGTCTGTGGTTGTACAATTTCTTAAATGCTCTGATGGTTAACCGATGACTTCTAAGAAGAACTAACTTTAGCCAATGTCCTTTTTTAATGTCTGTTATTATATATACCGATTGAGAAATTTTATTGCAGACAGGAGAGGGTGCTGCCGAGAAACTAGAAGAACGGCAGATTCTTGAGGTTCTTGCTAGTGGTGGAAAGGTTTGTGTCTTTTGCTATTTGGTGTGGTATAAGGTAATCAAATGTAGTGTTATTAATAAAAACAATATCTGAGACATTTTAACTGACGTCCAACTCAAACTTTTTGAATTTGTTTCTTTAATTTAATTAACTTCTTTTAATCCATTTTCCATTAGATTATGGCATATATGTGTAGCATCAAATATCCTAGAAAATTAGGTTTATTCTATTGTTTTCCTGGGTGCTACATCTTTCAATGATACTGATGATTAGAGAGCCCAGCCTACTGTACCATGCCTTGACATACGGAATAGATGGAACTTAATGGAGTAAAATATCCAGCAAAAGTGCGATGTAATTTACAATAAATTTGAAGAGACCCTGCTTTTGGTGATCTGAAATTGGAAAGAGAAACAATAAACATCCTGTCATCTTGCTTGTAACTCTTATTCAGACATCTGTATCTGCACCTTTAAATCTCAACATCTCAGTCATACCGCTTCTGTTTACGAATAGTGGTAGAAATTGCCGTGGATAAATTTTTATTTTTTTTACTTTTGTAATAATTAGTGGAACATTATCTTCAATTTTTTAATCCAATTATAACATCTATATTCAGTTCAAGCGCATTAGAAACTGGTTTATTTGTTGCAATTACCTATTTAGCGATATCGTTAACAGGTGACAATGATTAGTTCAGCGAGCGAGCTTCTGGTTCAGACAAAGTTGCATTCACTGCAAATTAAGGACGAACTGCAGGGTCGTATGTCTGGCAATTCACAGTACTTGGCTTGTTCTGTGCTGAAATATGACAGTTCACTTGAATCTAAACAAACTTGTGAGGATGGGAATGAGATGTCTGTGACACACCTAGATGATGATGATGGGGGTGATGATGACGGGGATGATGATGATGATGATACTTTTAAGGATGCTCTGCCTGAATTTATTTCTCCGTCTGACGCTGGTGCTCTTCCACAATATACGGATATGATGGATGCCTCCGGATACGAGTCTGATGAAGTGAAAATTCATGAACAAGATTTAATACAAGGAAAAGGACTCTCTGGGGAGATATTTTATGATGCACAAGGTGGTGGTGATTTGGATTTTGTATCAGTTACCTTCTCAAAGAAGGGTCCTAGTTCTCCTGTTTATGATGGTACAGACACACAGGTACATAAAATGAACATCATGGACATCCAATCGAATTTGATGGTTTGAAATTGATCTAACTAAGCAGGCAATTTGTTAAATTGAAAATTTCAGATGAGCATTCGCATGTCCAAGCTGGAGTTTTTTTGTAACAGACCCACACTTGTTGCTTTGATTGGATTTGGCCTTGACCTAGGTTCTGGGAGTAATACAGCAAGTGCTGTAGATGTAAATGAAACTTCGAAGGATAAGACGGACAAAGAAAAGGCTGAAGAAAGTGGTTGTATTGAAGGGTTGCTGGGATATTATAAAGCTCGAGTTGTATTTGATTTGAACATGGATATTGATAATGTCACTGTGTTTCTAAACATGGAGGATGGATCTCAGCTGGCAATATTTGTGCAAGAAAGTTTCCTGTTTGATTTTAAGGTGAAGAGAAGCATCTTTAATCATCGAATAATGTTTTGTAGTTTTAATTTTCTTCTTCATGTGTGACTTAGGATTCTGTTCCATATTTCAATATTCTCACTTTTAGAACTTTCCTATTAAGGTCCATCCTACATCCCTTTCTATTGAAGGCACATTGGGAAATATGAGACTCCGAGATATGTCACTTGGAATAGATAATTGGTTGGGTTGGCTATGTGATATACGTAATCCAGGAGTTGAATCACTTATAAAGGTACATTGCTTTGCACATATATATATATATATTAGCATTTGAGGCATTTAGGTTATTTTTTATTGTATGCCAGTTTACTTATTCCACATTTTCCTTTTCCCAGTTCAAATTCAATTCTTTCAGTCCCGGGGATGATGATTATGAAGGGTATAATTACCACTTGTGTGGGCGACTTTCTGCTGTTCGAATTGTTTTTCTCTATAGGTTTGTTCAAGAGGTATGATAAGATACATATGAACTATTTACAGTTTGATATTTTGATCTATAAATTACTGGGAACTTTGTTCGGCAGATAACAGTTTATTTCATGGAGCTTGCCACCCCACATACAGAAGAAGTAATAAAACTTGTTGATAAGGTTGGCGATTTTGAGTGGTTAATTCAGAAATCTGAAATTGATGGAGCTGCTGCTTTGAAGCTGGATCTCACACTCGACACTCCAATAATTATAGTTCCAAGAAATTCAATGAGCAACGAGTATGTTTAATACCCAATTATCTCCTCATATCTTGCACTCATTTGGTTGACCAATATATCTGTTTTCTCTGATATACCTTCCAAATTTCTTCATTAAACAAGTTGCAGCATGTTGCGATCATGTGTTTGAGATTAATTGTTCAGATCATCCAAAGTAGGCTGAAACTGTTTAGCTCATCAAAGGGAAACTGAAACCTTTGGACTCCTTAGACAGGGACGCAAATCTCTTCAGTTTTTTTTTTTTTATAGAAATTCTGCTTAGCGTATTTTTTTCTTTCATATGTCACTTTAAATAAGGACCAGCCTTCTTAGATAAATTGAAAACTTATTCTAGAAGGGAAATGAATCAAATGAAATTGAAACATAATCAAGAAACCTAAGGAAAGAAATAAAAGCGTAATCTAAGCCTTAATTCTGCACATAACATTACTCCTCTCTTGTAGAAAGAGCTTGTCCTCAAGCTCGATATTATGTTTTTCGAAATGTAGTAATTTTATTGGTAGAAAGAGGGGTACACATTGTTAAGGGTCTCGTTTCAAAACCTCCGTAAACCTACATATAGGAAAAAGAGTGCACCCACAACAATGGGCAGAGATTAGAGACAAGAAAACACGGATACTACCCACAAATAGAACACCAAAACATTAGGTAATACAAAGAAGGCAGAACACATCCAATTCGCTATGCAGTATCCATCAATGCTAAACCAGAAAACCGCAACCCCTCTTGTGACTGTCCTTCCTATTGAACCAGAACCAGAACCATGCCAATTTTCCTCCTAGGCCGAAGACAAAAACCAACTTGGTCTCTATCATTTAATCTTCCACCACAGCAGACAACTAAACCATATGCTAACTTGGCTCTTAGATCTGCTAATGAATTACACCTTCTGGAGATGTGCTTAACCACGGATCTTTCTTGTATAACGTAGCGACGATAGGATGAAGAGGGACCTCCATTCAGACTGAATAGAGGGAGGATTCGAGAGCCAATTAACCATAGCCACACAGTCGCTCTCAACTATTAATCCGAACTTCTTAAACCACCTAGAATCCTTAAATAGCTTAATTGCAAAATCGATTGTCAGGATTTCTTCTTGAACCAGCGAACCGCTCCCAATTGGAGCTGAGAAAGACAGAAGCGATTTGCCGTCATGGTCACGGAGTAACCCCCAATACCTCCCTTGCTGCCGCCCACCCGCATAGCTCCATCAACATTAAATTTTAAAAATCCTTCAGGAGGCGTTAGTCATGACTCCGGGGACTTTGCAGCCTTCTTCTTCCAAAGAGAATCTAGAAGTTTATGTTGAATGTGGTGGAAGTTTTCCGCTGAACTCCAGTTTTTCAAAGCCAGAGAGAATGGTGCTGGAGCTTTCACTATTATGTTATTTTATTATTTGTCTTATTTATTAAATTTTGGACATATAGATAGATGACTGATATTGTTAGTTATCTAGTGTTAGGATTAAAACTATATTTGCAACCCTTGTATGAAACCGCTGTCAAATAATTACAGCCACAACTTCATTATTATTATCTTTGAATTATTAAGAAAAAACTACATATTTTCAATAACCCTACGATTTCTCATGAATAATTCAAGGATAATAATAGGAATTGTCATCCAACATGAGTGAGAGTCAAAAACTTAGAGAAATAGTGAAAGGTCAGTCTTCTGTGGGGGGAGAAATGGACGATTTTCGTTGATAATCTTAGTAAGAGGGTAACAAGAGGAGAATTAAGGGAAATATTTCAGTATTATGGTCAAGTAATAAGGATTTTCATTCCAAATTATACTCAGAAACCGAAATACAAGAATTATACTTTCGCGTTTGTTCAGTTTGCAAGTGAGGAAGGGAGGAGGAGGGCTATTCAGTTTGTTAACGGAACTTGGATTAATGGGAAAAGAGTTTCAGTAGGGTTAGAAAAATATCAGAACAACAGGAATAGAGAAGCTACTGAAGGTAGGACTATGAGGGATGGGTCATTCCCAATTATGGTGGAGAAAACAAATGATGAGAATCATGCTGGATCTTCGAGAAACTTGAGGGATAGTAGATCATACAAGGAGGTGGTGGAAACGATCAATAGAGAGGTTAGCGAACATATTAATAAGGAAGATGGAAAAAGGTCAGTGAAGGCTGCTAATGGATTAAGGAATGTCTGGGAGTTGCATATTCCTTCAGAGGATTCGAACTGGGTGAAAAGGTCCTTAACAGGGGTAATCAAGCATTTCTTCGAGCAGGAATTTGTTCAGAAAGCCTTGGCGAGGGAAGGAATTCAGGTAAAAATAGCGAGATGGGGCTACGCATGGAATGCCTGTGTTGTAACATTTAAATCGATTGGAGAGTACTCTGATATATGGGCAAGAAAACAGGAGGAGTTGTTTTATTGGTTTGACTGGTTGGAGCCATTGCTGAATGAGGAGGGAGTTCCATTGGCGTTTTGTCTTGTGGAATTAATGGGATTATCGTTATTATGCTGGAATGGGGAGTTCTTGGAGAAATTTGTTCAGAAATGGGGAAAGTTCATTGGCATCATGGATTCTTCAAAGAAGAGGTCAGACTTATCGTCGGCAAGAGTTTTGATCAGGGTCGTCAATCCGTTTGATGTCCCTGAATCGATCACAATAGGGTCTTACGACAGATCATACAAAGTCGAAGCCATATTGGGATCGGTAGTTTCAAAACCGGAGGAGTTTTCCGGGGAGATTGACGTAGAAAATTCAAATTATGGGTACAATGAAAATGAGTTTTCCGAGAAAGAGGGTGGCCGCCGTCTAACTTTGGATCAAGTTGAAAATCACAAATTGTCTGACGACTCTATTATAAAGGTAGACAACTGCCTTGATCAGGAACAAAGGAGTAGGTTGGAAAAGGGGATGGGGAGCAGGTTATACCCAAAAAGTCAAACAAGGATATCTCAAAATTTGAGATGGCAGATTTCCTTGGAAAAGGAAAATATCTTATAGGGGATTACGTGGGACTTGGTTTGAGGGAAGAATTGGGCCTAGACTCTCAAGCCCAAGAAGATGACAGTTTGACTTCTGAATCAAGTATGAAGAATTTGTGTCCTTCAGGGCCCGCGTATAATCTAAAATGGATAGGTGAAGGTCCAAAGGCAGATTTATTCATCTTTTAAACAGGAAATTGAATAAGCCTAATGATGAAGTGCTAACGGATATAGTGGTCTGGGACAACGAAGTTAGGAATGCTGAAGGAGTAGAGGAGGAAAAGGAAGATGTATTAGTTCAATCTGCTGGAACTCAGCCACTGGAATTAATTAAGGGAACGCTTTCTAATGGTCTAAGGAGCTGGAGTCCGTTGGACCATTTGTCGAGAAGTTTGTTTATTAGGAATGTTCCGGTGGGAAGATGGAATAGAGGAACTTGTAATAGAGATTATAGAAGATCAAAAGAAAGAAAATTTTGGTATAATCCCAATTCAGAAGAAGAGTTGCTGCGACCAGCTGAGTTGCAGGACCAAAATAGAAAAGTTTCCAATCTTATTTTGAGCACTCAATCGTTCCCAATTATAGTGGAGGAAGGTATAATTCGCGATGATGAGGAAGGTGGTTCTCTTCGAAATTCAGTAGGGGACATGGATCAACATTCAGGGAGTATAGAAGTACCACGATTAGGTTGTCAGTCTTGAGCAGTGAAAGGGAGAGAGGGTAGGAGAAAGAGAAGGATTTTGACTAGGGAAGCTTTGGATGTGGCTAGCGTACCTACAATTACTTCTCCTCTTTTTCGATGTTTTTTGAAGAAGCAGTGGCTACGTGGTAGGTTAGTAGGATGTTGGGGATTTCTTTCAAAGAAGGCAAGAAGGCATTTTTAGATAAAATTATTGATCTTGAAGAGGGGTTGAGGGTTAGTAGGAATTGTTGAAATAAGGGGAATAGGTTATTGTGCTCATTTGATCAGAGGCTTTTGGGTTATTTGTTATCTTTATGAGGAACATTAACATCATTTCGTGGAACATAAGGGGTTTGGGGAAGAAGGAAAAATCAAGAGCTGTAGCTAATTTGGTCAAGAAGAATGAGCCGAGTATCCTACTTATTCAAGAAACAAAGCTCGAAAATTATTCTAAGGCTCTTAGGAGAAGGATAGGGGGAGTTTTCTAGAGGGATGCATTTTCCCCAGCTATTGGGTCTGCAGGGGGTCTACTGGTAATGTGGAATAAAAACGATTTTAAAATGTCCAACAGCTATCTAAGTGGCAGGATTATTGCAATATTTGGGAAGTTTAAGAACTTTGACGAAGAGTGTGTCATTTTGAATGTTTATGGTCCCTCCATTGAATCTGAAAAGGAAGAATTTTACAGGGAATTGTTGGAGTTTGTTTTAGGTCAATCGAATTTACTTTGTATTGGGGGGGATTTCAACACTATCTTGATCCAGCAGAGAAGTTGGGAAGGTCTCAAAACTGGCATTCTGTTGATATTTTTAGGAATTTCCTGCAGCAAACTAATTTAATTGATTTTCCGTTGGTCGGAGGAACCTTTACTTGGTGCAACAACAGGGAAGAATCAACTTGGGTCAGACTAGATAGGTTTTTAATAACTGGAAATTTTTTGTCATGCTTTCCGAATGTAGTTCAAAGACTGCTACCTAGGTCCATATCAGATCATAATCCGGTGTCATTGGAGGATTCGTCTGTAGATTGGGGTCCTAAACCCTTCCAATTTTATAATTATTTATTAAAGGAAGAAGGCTTCGAGGATTTGGTTAAATCTATAATGGTTGATTTGATGGAGAGGAATAACAGGAGGGGTATATTCAGTATTCTACAGGGAACTAAAAAATCAATCAGAAACTGGTCAAGCAGGAAATTTAATGGGATTTTAGAGTCTATTGTAACCTTGGAAGGGCAAATTAATGAGTTGGAATTGAAGGCACAAGGTAGTAATCTTTCTTCTCAGGAGTGGGAACAAGTGAAGCAGTTTAGATCGAATCTCTGGAGGCTGTACATGATTGAAGAAAGTATTTGGTTTCAAAGAGCAAGAGCGAGATTGATTAAAGGAGGGGATAGAAATATTAGATTTTTTCACCTGTGTGCTCTAAAAAGAAGCAGGAGAAATGCAATTACAAGTCTGAAGATTAATGGGACTGTTGTTTCAGATCCGTCCTTGATTAAGACCCACATTTCGGATTTTTTCAAGACAACGTTTAATTCCATTTCTGAAGTGGAGGATTTATTTTTGGATTTTTCTAAACTGTCTGGGAACCAGTCTACAAAACTAGAGAGCAGTTTTCAAAACAGGAAGTTTGGCAAGCTATAGCAACCTCGGACAGTTCTAAATCTCCTAGTCCGGATGGCTTCACAATGGGTTTCTTCAAGAAATGCTGGCAAAATTTAAAGGAGCATGTATTGAAAATTTTTAATGATTTTTACTTCGGAAGGAAGTGGGAGCATGGAGTAAATCATGCTTTTATTACTCTAATTCTGAAGATTTTAAATCCGAAAAGGGTTGAAGACTATCGACCAATTAGTCTTGTAGGAAGTTTGTATAAGATCCTATCAAAAGTCCTATCCAAGAGACTAAGCGGCTGTGTTGGTGACATTATCAGCCCTTTCCAGTTTGCTTTTATACTGGGGAGACAATTGTTGGACTGTGCCTTTATTGCAAATGAAGGGATCAATTATTGGAGAAAACAAGGACTACAAGAGGTTGTTTTCAAAGTTGACTTTCGTAGAGCGTATGATTCTGTTGAATGGCTAATATTAAACAGAGCAATGAAGGAGATGGGTTTTGGTACTAGATGGTGTTCGTGGATCTCACAGTGTCTCTTCGGCTTCAATTTCGGTTCTTGTGAATAGGTCTCCATCGGAAGAGTTTCCAATAGACAAGGTTGTAGTCTCTCTCTGCTTCTCTTTAATATAGTAGGTGAGTTGTTGCATTTGATGCTCGATAAAGCAGTTGAGAAAGGTCTTTTTCAAGGTTTTGTATTGGGAATTCTGAAGATTCCTTCAGGTTATCTCATCTTCTGTTTGCCGATGATCTCATCATTTTTTGCCAAGCTTCACTTACTCAGATTAAAAATGTGAAAAGAGTGTTGAGGATTTTCAGTATAATGGTGGGGTTGCATCTAAACTTGAAGAAGAGTAAACTTTTTGGTGTTAATATTGATGAGGATATTTTATCAGATTGGGCACTGGAATCGTTTTCCCACATATTATTTGGGACTTCCAATCGGTGCTAAGATGAATTCTGAAGCCTTATGGGATCCAGTCTTTAAAAATTTTAACTCCAAATTAGAAGGGTGGAAAGCCTCATGTCTTTCGTTGGCTGGCAGGACAGTTTTGTTGAAGTCTGTGTTATCTTCTCTGCCAATTTTTCCTATCATTCTTTAAAATGCCTTGCAAAGTTGGGAAGAAATTAAATTCTTTAATGGCTAGTTTTTTGTGGGATGACAGTGCGGAAAAGAGAAGATTCATTGGGTTAGCTGGAGTACAGTTTGTAAACCTTTGAACAGTGGTGGCCTTCGGGTTCTTGACTTGAATCTTTCAAATCGAGCATTATTGGGAAAATGGGTGTGGAAGTTTGCAAACGAAAAGAATTCCCTATGGAAAAGAGTGTTATATAGCAAGCAAAATGTTAGTTGCAATACTATGTCTATTAGTAAGGTCATCTCTCCAAAATCTTCTTGGAATTTGAGAAGTATTGCTAATAATATTTTGAAGAATGATTCGGGAGGAGAGTGTCTTAGATCATTTTCGAAGTTGCAAGTAGGCAATGGAAAGTCCATATCATTTTGGATTGATCCATGGGTGGATGAGGTTCCTTTAAAAAATCTTTTCCCTAGAATTTTTGCACTCTCTTCTAACAAATGGGGTAAGGTTGCTGAATTTGGAAGTTTTGAGTTGAATGGTTGGGTGTGGAACATTCTTACTAGGACGAATTTGTCGGATTGGGAATTGGATCAATGGATGATTTGCTGGTGAAATTAAAGGATATAAAACTCACAGATTCGGTTGAAGACTTTCTCTCTTGGTCTGCAAGTGGTGATGGGTTATTCTCAGTAAAATCGTGCAGGAAAGCGCTTGATAATGATATCCTTCCCTGCCATAAGAGAGACTATCTCCTTCACCAATACTTGAAACATAAGAGTGCATAAACCCGGATTCTTGATCCACTTTAGGGCATTGCTTGAATCATATTCAAGAATAAACCTCCGATTAGGGACAAAACTTAAATCTTTTAGAAGACATAACCCCCTCTTAATCGCCAATAATTCTGCCAAGATAGGAGGACCACCCCCAACTCTTTCTGAGAACCAATGAAGCAACACACCTTTACTGTCCCGAATCAAACCACCAATACCTCCCTTATCCCAACCCTTTACCAATACCCTTAATCGCCAATTATTGTTTGAGATTGATAGTTCAGCTCATCAAAGGGATAATAAAATCTTTCAACTCTTCAAATGGAGACTGAAACCTTAGGGCTCGTTAGATAGAGACCCAAATATCTTTAGGTTTTTTTATTATCATAGAGCTTCTTTCATTCGTTCCTTCAAGTAAGGACCTGTCTTATTACAGAGATAGAAAACCTATTTTAGAAGGGAAATAAATCATCTGAAATATAAACATAATCAAGATACCTAAGAATGGTCAGTAGCCCCTTTGGTGTTCCTTTGTCCTATACTTATTCTTCTTGGACATGCAAAGCTGGAATAGAAAACCTTTTTTTTGTTTTTGGTCCCTTTGGTTGAAACTGAACTTCCTAAGTTTTTTGTACTATCATTTGGTGTGAACATTACTAATGTATTTACATATTACAGGTTCATTCAACTTGATGTGGGTCTTCTGAAGGTCAGAAATAAAATAAGTTGGCATGGATTGCCTGAGAAAGATCCTTTTGCCGTTCGTCTTGATATCATTCATGCTGAGGTACATTTCTTATGATTATATAGTACCACATATTTGACTATTGAACAATGATTATACCTTTATTAAATTTGCAGTTTCTTGGAGTAAACATGTTTGTGGGAATTGATGGTTGTATTGGTAAACCATTGATTCATGAAAGCAGAGGGCTTGATGTTTATGTTCGACGGAGTTTGAGGGATGTTTTTAGAAAAGTCCCAACATTTTCCTTGGAAGTTAAGGTGATCTTTGAACTTGAAATGTTTTGATGTTTTATACTAAATATTATCTTCTGTTTCTTTTTGGTAAAGTGTTATAGTGGCTGTTCCCTTTTATTAGATTGTGTGCTGGGTATATAATGTGCATGCCGGTTAAGTGTCTCTTCATACAGAAAATTTGCGTAAACTGTATTTTTTTTATAAGAATTTCAGGCCTCATTAAAAATCCCCTTATTGATTAATGGAGCTTGTAGGGAAGCTCCTTAATCAGCGGAAGGAGGAATAGAGTGCCTTAGGATTATATTGAACAATAAAAACACATAAGATACAACTAACAATACAACCGACAAAACCACCCCAACAGAACCAAATAAGCTGGAAACACCCATAAAACACCCTAACTAAAAACACAAAATCAGCGAAAACAGCACTAGTAATCCCCTTACAAAACACTTAAAATCCAGGTACCACCCTAAACAACCATCAACAACTTTACTGACTCAGCCTATGTCTTCTTTAGCTAAAGCATCAACCTCTAAATTGGCTGTCCTACTAACCCATCTAACAACACCTTCAAAGGCATTAAGCCTATGAGCAATATCTTTAATCAAGAAGGCATATGCAACAGGACATAATTCATCCCCCTTAATCCAATCCACAACCACCTTACTATCACTCTCTATAATCAAACGGTCCTTGATCTCTGTCGATAGTTTGCAAAGAAAGACAACCCCATAAGAATAGCCTTTAACTCCATCAACGTAGGCGGTCCCGGACCAGCAGTTTCCTTGAAATAGCCTATAGTAGAACCTGAGGAATCTTTTAGAACTCCTCCTAACCCACTTTTCTTCCAATCCCTTGTAGTGGCAGCATCAACGTTTAATTTAACAAAACCTAAAGGAGGAGGAGACCAAAGTAAAATAGGAGAAATCTGAGTAGAGCGAAGAGAAAACAAGTCCCCAAGAGAAGGATCGGAAATGAGTGAGTCTTTAGGAATAGACACTTCTTTATACTTTGCTAAGAACCAAGAAGCAAGCCTAAACCTTGCTAAAAAGAAGAATTCTGCCTTATCAAACTTCCCCCCTTCAAACACCACGAAATTCCTCATTTTCCAAGTGGTCTACAGCACGACCCTGGAATAAAAGGCCAAATCAAAGAGTTAGACTTGAAACCATCCCAAGCTAGAAAGAAGCTTTTAGCGTCCGCTGGTAAAATAGAACAAATCCTTCAAAAACTTAAAAACTTATTCCAAAGGGACCACACCATCGAACAAGAGAAAAACAAATGAGAGGAAGACTCATCCGACATCTTGCATAGGGGACACAACACATCTACAATTCCTTGAACACCTCTTATGACAAGTTCAGTCCTAACAGCCAGCTTCCCATGAGCGATCTGCCAAAGAAAACACTCTACTCTTGGAGGTAGTAGACCTCTCCAAATGATCTTCTTCCAGAAAAGGACCTCTTCCGATCCCAAAGTCTCCAATGAACCTAGATTAACAGCTGATCTAACAGTAAAAACCCCATCCCTAGTACCTTTCCAGATCACACGATCAGGAAATTCCGAAGAGAGTGAAAATTTTGTAATGATAGCCAACAAGTTAGACCATTGTTCAAGTTCCCAGTCATGAAGATTTCTTCTGAACTTGACATCCCAAGTCCAAACGGAAGAGATGTACTTCCCAAATTCAGATAATTTCCCAAACTAATTTAAGGAAATAGAAAATAGTCTCGGAAAAATGACATCAAGTGGATGATCCATAGCCCAAATATCTTGCCAAAACTGAATATTTTTACCATCACCAACATGAAAACTACTCATGCTTCTAAACTTAGTGCCAAAGAAGTCTTCTTTAAAATAATTATTTAGCAGTGATCTCCAAATCCAGGATACCTTAGGTGGAAGCTTACTGTCCAGAGTTAAAACTGAAGGATCGAGTCTATATTTGGCACAAACAACTTCCCTCCAAACTGAGTCCCTATCATTTGCAAACCTCCAAGTCCATTTCCCCAAAAGCGCTTTATTCATCAAGTTAAGATTAAGAACTCCTAAGCCCCCTTCACTCTTCGGCTTACTAACATTGGACCAGCTAACCCAGTGAATTTTTCTAATGCTATTTCCCCCTCCCCATAGGAAATTGGACATAATAGAGTTAAGGGTTTTAAGAACCGAAGCTGGAATTTTAAATATTGAAAGATAATATGTAGGAAGCGAACATAGAACCGCCTTGATTAACACTAGTCTCCCTGCTAAAGAGAGAGATGCTACTTTCCACCCGGATAACTTGTTAAAAAAATTATTAATGACAGGTTCCCAAATAGCTGTAGAATTTCTAGTAGCACCTAGGGGAAGTCCTAGATATTCAGAAGGAAATCTCCCAATTGAACATCCAATAGAAGTAGCCCATTCCAGCAGTTCCTCCTCATTAACATTCAAACCAAACAATTTACTCTTCTTCAAATTCAGCTGTAGACTAGAAACCACTTGAAAAACTCGAAGACCCTTTTGACATTCTGAATTTGCATCCTCGAGGCACCAGAAAATATAATCAGATCATCCGCAAACTGTAAATGTGACACATTTACAGACCCCTGTTCTCTGCCAATCACCATTCCAGAAAACAAACCCTGTGACACTGCCCTTCGAATCAATAGATTAAGTAGCTCCCTACTAAATTAAACAACAAAGGAGACAGCGAACAACCCTGTCGAAGACCTTTAGCCATTGAGAATTCTTCAGAAGGAACTCCATTTACAAGAACCGAAACAAAAGCTGTGGTTACACACTGCTCAATCCAACCCCTCCATCTGGACCCGAAACCTATTTTCTCCATTAATTTAAATAAAATAGACCACTCAACAGAGTCGTAAGCTTTCTTGAAATCAACCTTGAATACACAGTCCTTGAGTCCATTTTTTCTCCAATAATCCACTCCTTCATTAGCAATTAAAGAACAGTCCAGAATATGTCTTCCCGGTATGAAGGCAAACTGAGTTGGGCTAATGATGTCTGAAATGCAACCCCTCAATCTCCTCGACAAATACTTAGAAATGATATTATACAACCCACCAACTAGACTAAATGGCCTAAAGTCATCTAGACCACCAATGTTAGAGACCTTTGGAATGAGAGTGATAAATGTATGATTAACCCCATGTTCCCATTCTTTCCCCAAATAAAAATCATGAAAAAATTTCATAATATCAACCTTGAGGACATGCCAAAACCTTTTGAAGAAGCCCATATTTAAACTATCCGGTCCCGGTGCTTTATTACTATCACAAGATTGTATAGTCTGCCAAATTTCCTCCTCTGAAAATTCCTTCTCTAAACTTAGATTCTGCTCAACTGAAATACTAGGAAAAATCAACCTGATCTCTTCCACCTCTAAAGTCGAATGCTCGTTGAAAATCTTAAAGAAGTGGTCCCTAATAGTGGTCTTAATGACAGAAGGACCTTGAATAAATTAACCCCGATATTCAAGGCATTCAAAGCATTCCTCCTCTTCCTAATCGAAGCACAATTATGAAAAATTCTTGTATTTCTATCTCCATCTTCTATCCATTTTGATCTGGACTTTTGGAACCATATTTGCTCCTCTATTTTATAGAGTCTCCACAATTCTGCTCTTGCTGAAACTAACTCTGCTGCCATTCCACTGTTAACACCATCCTGCAACTGTTGAATATCCAATTCTAGACTGTGGATCCTCGATTCTAAGGCTAAGATACTAGTTCCAGGAAATTGGTCCCTACTTCCCGCCCAATTCTTGATAGCAGTTTTTGTATTTCTCAGTATACTATAAATTCCAGCCTTCCTCTGCTGATTCTTCCTTTCTTGAATAGAAGATCTGACCAAATCCTCAAACCCAACTTCTTCCATGAGATAGTTAAAAAGTTTAAAAGGCTTTTTACCCCAATTGACACCTCCATTCTCCAGCAGAATAGCATTATGGTCTGAAAGAGATCTAGGCAGTAAGGTTTGCACCAAGAAATTGGCCATTAACCAAAAATCGGTCCAATCTAACATGTGTAGGGGTATCTTGATTATTGCACCAAGTAAGCCTTCCTCCATTTAAAGGTAAATCAATTAAGCTTGTTTGCAACATAAAAAGATTGAATATCCTCATTGAATTCCTGTTCTGAGTTCTTCCGATCTTCTCTCCATCATGCAAATAAACATTAAAGTCCCCTACACAAATAGGAGCCCTCTGACCACTTATGAACATGCTAAACTCTTCAAAAAAAACTTTCTCCTCCTCTACTGAAGGGCCATAAACATTGATGAAAATACAACTGAAATTATTGACACGAAATTTTTCGGATAATACAATGAATCTTCTGCAGATAGACTGACTTTCTAATTCGAAAACTTTATCATCCCAACAACTCATTAAACCCCCTGATGAGCCAACCGATGGAGATTCAAGAACTCCTTTAAAATAATTGAACCCCTTTCTTCTAAGCATAGATCTAGGAATCTTCTCCATTTTCGTTTCTTGCAGCCAAAGAAACTGTGGATGATTTTTATCAATTAACCTCTGAATAGCCCTCTGTTTTTCTTTCCTCCTCAATCCTCTCACATTCCATGAAGCAATGATAAAATTAATCTTCATCATTAATTAGTCCACAATCTACATCCCTATCAATCTCATCTTGATTAACCTTATTCAAAGCTTTCTCCAAGCTGATAATCTTATCCAGAAAAGCCTCCTTCCCTTGCTTAAAGGACACCCCCAATAACTTGCTGTCGTAAACTGTATTTGACATTTTATTTTTTCTCCCTAGTAGCTATTTGTTGTTTTTCCCTTATCGATAGTACTTTCCTTCTTTGCAATTACTTAATTATTCTTTAGTAATTCCTTTTGATGTTTTTCTTTGCAGTTTGACTATTTGCATGGTGTAATGTCTAACAAAGAATATGATGTTGTTCGTAGCTGTACAACTATGAATTTGAATGAAGCCCCTAGGCTCCCTCCAAGTTTCCGTGGCAGCAAATCTGCTTCTAAAGATACAATAAGGCTATTGGTTGATAAGGTCAACATGAATAGTCAGATGCTTCTATCACGTAGTGTAACCATTTTGGCCGTCGAAATCAATTATGCACTGTTGGAGTTGTGTAGTGGCACACATGAGGAATCACCTTTAGCTAGAATAGCTGTGAGTACTGAGTATTGATATTTACTAATTGTTCCTGCTATTGTTTCATTTTGTGGCTAGAATTTTTGCTTATTTATGCAATGTTTTGCTCTTGGCTAAACATGTATTGTTTGTAATGTATTATTCATTAAATGTTGTATGTCTTCACTTACTCTTGCTCTTTCTTGCTTCTTTAGCTAGAAAGCCTTTGGGTATCATACCGCATGACGTCATTGTCAGAAACAGACCTCTATGTGACTATTCCTACTTTTTCTGTTCTCGATATCCGCTCCAATACGAAGCCTGAAATGCGACTCATGCTTGGATCAGCTGCCGACGCTTCCAAACAAGCTTCCACTGGAAACTTTCCATGCTTAAACAAGAGTAACATTAGCAGAGTGAATTCTGAAGCAGGTAAGTTGGATGTGTCAATTTCAACAATGTTCTTGATGGACTATAGATGGAGATTGTCTTCCCAATCATCTGTGTTTCGACTTCAACATCCTCGAGTACTCGTTGTGCCGGATTTCCTTCTTGCTTTGGGTGAGTTCTTTGTGCCATCATTGGGAGCAATGACTGGAAGGGAAGAAACAATGGACACCGAGAATGATCCAATTAGAAAAAATAACAGCATTATACTTGCTGATAGTGTGTATAAACAGAATGAAGATGTTGTGCACTTGTCACGGAGTAGACAGTTGGTTGCTGATACTCAGGGCATCGATGAGTATACATACGATGGTTGTGGAAAGACTATCGTCTTAAGTGAAGAGAATGAAGCAAATGGGTCACACCCTGCCCAATTTTGTCCCATTGTTATAATTGGGTGTGGCAAGAGGTTGCGATTTGTCAACGTAAAAATTGAGGTATTTGTGCTTCTCCACTTTGTATTTAATTATGAGAAATCTTTCTTCTGCTTTTTATTCTTTTCCAAAATGTCTTCATTCACCAGAATGGTTATCTTTTGAGAAAGTATACATACTTGAGCAATTATAGCAGCTATTCAGCGTCACCAGAAGATGCTGTTGACATAAATTTGATGGATACTATAAGTTCTGACAATGACAAGAAGATTGCAGACAATCAAGAGTTAACAAACACTCCAAATACTTCATGCTTACAAGATGGCCCCGAAGCTGTGCAGAGTTTCACTTTTGAAGCTCAGGTAGGTAAAATTCCATTAATGGTTCTTACCTATCTTAAATAGTCCTTTAAACTAGATTTTTTTAATCTTATAGTTATTTTACCTTGTGCATTACAGAGAAATGAACATATACTTATTTTATATGCATACGCACATACAAATTGTTAAAAATTGATCATGTTACCTTAATTGGGATTTTAGGGGATACCTTAATATGAACGTAATGGGATATCTTAATTAGGATTTTAGGGGATATTTTATGGTGGACAGGAAAGTCACAACTGTGGTATTATTAATGGGAAGATGTTATAGTGGTCCAAAGTGTGAACGTAATGGGAAAGTCACAACTGTGGTATTATTAATGGGAACAAGACAAACCTGATATTTTGTGGACGAGATTCAAGGAATACTGCATTCTTTGGTTTGATCATCTGCTGTCTAAAAACCCCTTGGGACAACTAACGAAATTGAATCATACGGGATCAGTGGAAGACTATCTTTGTCAATTTCACGAATTGTTGGCTTGTGTAGACTCAACAAGGATGGATCAAAAAATTAATTTGTTCATTTTCGGATTATCAGATTCAATATGAATCAATGTGGAGATGCGAAAACCTGATGACTTAGTTCAGGCTATGAATCTTTCGTGAATCATTGAGAATAAAAATTAGCTAGTGTGAGATACATGCCTGCAAAACACGACTTGGCAGAATCTAGGATCTAACCTGGAAATAATGTCAGCAACAACCACCTTAGCTGCTACGAAGGGAAAATCCGAGGAAACCATAGCATCCATAAGGGGACACAATGGCAGTAGAGCAGATCCATCTGCTTTCAGAAGATTGAGTCAATCATAGATGGAAGAACGGAGGACTAATGGTCTTTGCTATTATTGTGATGAACCCTACTTAGTAGGACATCAGTACAAAAGATTATTCTAGTTAGAGGTTTACAAAGGCACTTACCAAAGTCATCAGACTTAAAGTAGTTGTTTACAAGCCCCTCCAAATCCAGGAGCCTTTAGGCTTTAGCACTATTTGCAGAGTTCAGCACCAGGGAACTATCATCGATATTATACTTGCAGCATATCAACTTTTTTCGCCATGTATTCTTCTCATTCGCAAACTTCCATAACCACTTCCCTAAAAGGGCTCTGTTCATTAAATTGAGGTCATTAACTCCTAGACCTCCACAAAATTTTGGCTTACATACAACCGCCCAATTGATCCAGTGAATTTTGTTTTTCTCTTGTCCTCCTCCCCAAAGAAATCTTGCCATTATAGAAATTAGCTTCCTATGAACAGATGATGGCATCTTGAAGATTGAAAGATGATAAAGGGGGGGGGGGAATACCTAATCAAAATGCATGAATATCACGCAGGTCCGATTTGCCCTTGTGATGAGAATGGACATGAACAAATGCAACATATACGAAGATTTGAGGAATCAGATTATTATTTTTTATAAGAAAGGGAGATCTCATTAAAAATCTCATTTATAACCGACAAGCTATAAAAAGTAACTCAACAAACATTGGAATGTGGCAAAAAGTACCTCAAATTTATTGTTAGAATTAAAGTACATCAAACATACACACCAGACTAATACCAGAAAAACACCCAGAACCTAACATCTATTGCCAAGATCGAAATACACAATTGGATTAGCCAATTCCTAACTTAGCCAACTCATTCGCCTCCCAATTCGCGGATCTCAAAATGTGCCTAACAATAATATCCCGTTCTAACACTAAAGCAACAATATCCTTTAGCAAAGACTTGAACAACGGAGAGCAGGAGCCCAAAGCAACAGAGCAATCCGATTCTAGAATAAGCATCCCCTATCACCATAACCAGACTCCACAAATAATAACAGACCCATTTTGATATCTAACAATTCTGCAAGAATAGGTGGCCCAAGACCCATACTATCTGAAAAAGAGCACAACACCACACCCTCACCATCTCCAAGTAAACCACCAATACTTCCTCTTAAGCACCTCTTATCCATAGCACCATATACATTGACTTTGAAGAAACCCAAGGGAGAAGGGACCCACCGCACCGAAGAAGATATAACCCTCTTAGATCTCAAAGCAGAATATGTTAAAACCGGGTCCCCCCACTCGTTATGAATGAAAGAAAATGGAAGTTTTTTTTATTGCTTATCGGAAAAGAAAACCTTTGGTGTTTTGTTAGTTCACAATCATCACAATGAAAGGCTACAAAGGCAATGCCTTTATGGATGAAGGATAATTTAATAGATTTGCCCATCTTGGATGGTCGTTTAGAGTCAAAGGAGAAGGAGGAGGAGGAGGATGTGATTAATATGGGCCTTACAAATAATTGTGCTATCATAAGATCCAAGGGAGAGGAAGTCCAACAGGATGGGGCTGTGGTTGAACGGGTGGTTGGAAAACCCAAATCGGGTATAGTATGTGAGGATTTAGACCAGAGCCTTGGCTTGTCAACACAATTGAGGGACGTTTCTTTCTCGCACAATTCTAGGCAGAACCAGAGAGCTAAGGAGGGGATTAACAATAAATATAGCTCTCTCCAAATTATTGAAGAGAAATATTCGGCTCCCCATAGGAAGACTAGACTCTGCCGAAGCAAGATTAATCAGAAGAAGGTGCAACGCGAGGAAGAATGGATTGAACATGATGGCTCACAAGTGTTTTTGATTTCCGAAAACTATAGCAGTGGAAGAATTGGAAGTTTCAGGTGATTCGCATTTGATTATGGAATGAAGTTGGAGGTTCAGATGGTCTCCGATAACAAGACGAGCAATAAGTGGTAGAAAGGCGGATAGAGTGATTTCGAAGCTAGCTTTTTGTACTCTTATATTGTGGAAGCTAATGGCTTTTGTGTTAGAATTTGGTTTCTTTGGAATGAGTCAATTCATATCGAGGCTGGCAAGATGATGGGTTCTTTCATAATATCTAAATATCCAGGCCTTCCAATTTTGCTGGAACTTTTTCCTAGGTCTTGTAATATGGAGACAGACAAGTTAGCTATGGAGGGGATTGGTTGATTGTTTCAGGCAATTTGTTGAACTGTTTTCGGTTGTATTCCATGAAATGTTTAGGTGTTAGTCTTCATTGTTGTTGCTAGATTGGTTATCAGCTCAGCCAAAATTTATACTGTATTAGTAGCTTATATGGTTTAGGCTGAGCTAGTTCTGTTGTATAGGGTTGTCTTCGGTTCTTTTTTGGTTTTTTGGTTATGTTTGGGGTGTTTATCTGGTTGTATCTTATGTAATTTCTTTTGGTTAATGAAATCTTTAGGCACTCTTTTCCTCCTTCCGCTGATTAAGGAGCTTCTCTACAAGCTCCTTTAATCAAGAAGGGGGTTTTTAACGAGGTCTTCAATTCCTATAAAAAAAGGCAACGCCTTTATATAAAGAGGGAAACACCAACTTGAGTTTTCTAAAGGATGGATGACATAATTGACGATGTTGAAGCCCAGTTTTATATAGACTTGGACAACAATGATGTATATATTGGAATTTCACCTTCTGTTATACTCCTTATTTGTTCTAGGAAGTAGAGACCATCTCTCTGACTAGCACGTCCAAGCATCCTCTTTGTGCCTATTGCCTGAAAAACACGATGTGAAGAGAAGAAGATTACATTGTAATTTGAATCTGTGATTAATTTGCGAGTGGAAATAAGGTTTGCAAATAATATGGGAATATGAAAAAAAATTCTTAGTGTAAGGTCTTTGTTGATGTAAATGTCCCCTTGGCCAACTGCAGTGATGATGGATCCGTTAGCTATGGTGATCTTTGTATGGCTATAGATCAGAGTATAAGAGATAAAATTTTTGGAGGAACAATTGGTATGGTCAGTGTTTCCAGATTTAATCACCCATATGGGAGGATAATTTATGTTTGAGACATTAGTATAAGAGGAAGAAGAAATACCTGAAAACGTCAATAAATAGGTACTTGTCGAGGTTGGCTTCTCAAAAGATCTCAACAAGGTCTTCAATTTCTCAATTTCCTTGATGTTAAACGCAGGATCATACTTTTTTTATTACTGGTCAACAAAGGACTCACCATAAGTGTCTGGCTTTCGGTTGCCCTTTTATTTAGCCTGGCATAAAGTTTTCAGCATCTCTTTAGAGACCTTACTTTATTTTCCTTTCAAAAAGCTCCTTTCTTACTTTTTTACATGGAGCTTATTTGACCAAATGTTTGTTTGAGTATTTTTGAAAGTATCCATTTGTAGCCTGCAGGTATTATGTACTAATGGTGTACCTAGCTTTAACATTTAGCTTTGTTTAGAGACCTTACTTTATTTTCCTCTTTATTTCTAGAAGTCTCAGCTTAGTAATTCTTGGACTGTGCATGCATGAGTATCATCAAGCAGTTCACAAATATGGTTTCACAAGTGTTGATTTCTTACTTTGTAGTAACTCTTCCTCTTTGCATGCATTAGTATTACCGGGCAGTTATCAAAATAGGGTTCACAAGTGTTGATTCCATGGTTTGTCATGAACTTTGAATTGAATGTTTTTCTTTGATATACTCATTGATTGATCCGTTTACATTACTTGGCTATCTGGATCCATCTTTAACTTCCGTGAATTTTGGTTTTATCTCATTTTGGCGTACCTGATTAACATTATTATATGTGTTTAGGTTATTTCTCCAGAGTTCACATTCTTTGATAGTACCAAATCTTACTCGGATAATTCATCTTACGGCGAAAAACTTTTGCGCGCAAAAATGGATTTAAATTTCATGTAAGAGTAGCATTAGATCTGGTTATATTTGTTTCTTTTTTTCATGTTTATTTTGTTTTACTGGTGTATGACAAGAGAGCAGTAGATGATTTCCGAGGGAATTTTATTTTCTGCATGTTTAGTATGAAAAATGGTAGGAGGAAAGACAAAGTTGGAGCATCCTTCATATATTGGTTGGAAGTTACATAAAGGTGGTGCAAGAGAATCTAAACAACCCAAGATGTGATCTCTCTCGCTCTTAACATGTGTGTCCCCGTGGCATGTATGTAAGCTGCATTAGCAGATGAGGAGATATATGTACATGACTAGCCCCTGATACTGACATGATTTTACCATGTATGGATGGTGAGATAAGATTCATGTACATTAAGTTTCCTTACGTAGAGGAAACTATAACCTGGAAGTCAAAGCATGTATCATGTATCTTTGAACAGAAATATCTGCTCTTTGCTAATTTTTTTAATCAATCTGTGAACAGAAATATCTTTTTCTCTATTTATCTTTTGAACAGGTATGCATATAAGGAAAATGATACCTGGATCCGTGCCATGGTGAAGGATCTGACAGTTGAGACCGGTTCTGGTCTTATCATCCTGGATCCATTGGATATTTCGGGGGGATATACTTCCATCAAAGAGAAAACTAACATTTCTCTGATTTCAACTGATATTTGTGTTCATCTTTCATTAGGCGCAATCTCTCTTCTACTTAACCTCCAGAATAAAGCTACTGCAACATCACAATTTGGAAATGCAATTCCCCTGGCTCCTTGCATCAGTTTTGACAGAATTTGGGTGTCGCCTAAAGGTTTTCTTTAAACAATTTGCAATTTGATGCTTTCTCTCACCATTTATTTTAATTAAATTATTTTGGGCTCTTCTCTTGTTTTTTTTTTTCATGTTCATAGAGAATGGATCTCACAATAAACTTACCATTTGGAGGCCACAAGCTCCATCAAACTATGTTATATTGGGAGATTGTGTGACATCTAGGTAAAACACTATTTTCCTTGTTTCAGCTATGGTTAAAGACTCTGAAGTTCAGGTTTCGTTGTTTCTGTTTTCTTCCATACCAGAATCCGCTTTAGGTTGGTAATTTTGGTTAATTATCTATTAAATTTTTTGATGTACAACTAGTGGGATGGAGGCTGGCAACAACGCTATTATTTAAAACAGACTCTTGGTCTGTGCTGTTGACACCTATTTTCATGGGATTCGTGCATACACATTTTCTGAGAATGAGTTGGATGTTGAAAGGGTTGTGGCTTAGTTTGTTTCTAGGCTGAGGTTCTATCTTTATGTCTTCCCGTTTTCAGTCATTTTTGGGGATATGATTGCTGGACAAGTGAGATTATGATGGGGAATTGGGGGCTAAACGCTCAATTTGGGCTTAAACCTTTGGGGCTCTGCTCACGTAACGATCAAACCTTTTAAAGTGGTCAAATAAGAACCAAGCCTAGTCAGACCTGCTCACATAAGGATCAAACCTGTCGAAGTGGTATAACAAGAACCAAACTTTTTTGGAAGAGGTTAAATAAGGACCAAACCTCTCTCGACCAGCTTAAAGATGTGAAAACATCAACCATGTATACTTTACCTTTTCTTCATGGTTTTTGAACATAATAGTATTGTAATATACATTTTATTGGACATTCTGTATAGAATGGTCTATTGTAGTCCTTATTTAAGCATGTCCAAAAAGGTTTGGTCCTTATTTGACCACTTTGAAATGTTTGATCCTTGTGTGAGTAGGGCCTCAAAGGTTTAGGTCCAGATCGAGCATTTAGCCAGAATAGGGGCTATGAAGGTGTTTTTGAAGTGAGTACTTCTTTTCCTTTCAATGTTTGGTTTATCTGATTTTACTTTACTTGGTTCTGGTTAACGCTCTTGCACTGAGGTTTTCTTTTTGAACAAAGATAATATCCACCTGACCTTAATATAAATGGTATTTTTCATGTAGTTATTATTTTGTATCAGAAAACTTTACAATTTTATGAGTATTTAATCTGACCATTAATGTGCATTTCCTTCTATTGTTCTCCAGCCCAATTCCTCCTTCACAGGCAGTATTAGCAGTAAGTAATGCATATGGGCGCGTTCGGCATCCAGTGGGTTTTAAACTTATTGGTTTTCTCTCTCATGTCCTTGGATTGGAAGAAATGGAAGGCCGTACTGATATTGACGGTGATTGCTCCCTTTGGATGCCGGTTTCACCTCCAGGGTATATATCAATGGGTTGTGTAGCAAACATAGGGAATCGCCCACCACTAAACCATGTTGTTCATTGCCTGCGCTCTGACCTTGTAACATCTACAACTTGTTCAGAATGTTTGTTGAATTCACCACCAAATCAGCATTTTACTTCTGGATTTAGTATTTGGCGTTTGGACAATGTTCTTGGATCATTTTATGCTCATTCTTCAAATACATACCCTTCCAAAGAAAATATTTCTGACCTTAGTCATCTTCTACTCTGGAATTCAGTATGGTCTTACACATCTCTGGAGGAATCTGTTCCTGATTCTACCGCAGACAATGATAATGCTAGTCATCAAACAAGTAACCAGAGTGCTAGCTCATCTGGGTGGGACATTCTCAGGTCAATGTCAAAAGCATCTAGTTGTTACATGTCAACCCCTAACTTTGAGAGAATGTGGTGGGACAAGGGTGGTGGCCTCCGCCGACCAGTGTCAATTTGGCGGCCTGTTTCACATCCTGGCTATGCAGTAATAGGTGATTGCATTACAGAAGGGTTAGATCCTTTTATCTTGGAATGTTTCTTTTTAAAACTCTTTTACTACTATAGGTATTCTTTTGATTTCTTTATGAGTTTCTGTTGACATTTGTCAAGTCTTTTCTCCTTTCCAGATTAGAACCACCTGCTCTGGGCATAATTTTTAAGTCTGAGGATCCAGAAATCTCTGCAAAGCCTGTGCAGTTTACTAAAGTTGCCCATATTACTGGGAAAGGTTTTGATGAAGTTTTCTTCTGGTTCCCAATAGCCCCTCCTGGTTATTCTTCTTTAGGGTGTGTGGTTTCCAGAACAGATGAAGCCCCAAGCACGGATTTCATTTGCTGCCCAAGGATGGATCTTGTTAGCCCAACCAACATCATTGAAGTGCCCATTTCCAGATCTTCAAGCTCAAAAGCATGTCAGTGCTGGAGCATTTGGAAAGTTGAAAATCAGGTCAAGATAATTCTCATTAAACTCAGTAGTCCATGAATGTCACTGAATTTTCGGATTCTTTAAGATAGTTTCAATTTTTTTTAATATGAAACAAATAAGTTCATCAAAGAGAGTGTGCTTTTTATGTCTTCAGGTCTGATATAATCTTCCTTAACCTTTGACTTTTCATTCTCTGAATTTTTAATGGGAAGAAAAGACGGATTATATCATTTTTGGATGCCTGATTTTTTCCCTGTAGGCTTGTACTTTTCTTGCACGTTCAGATACAAAAATGCCATCAACACGGTTGGCTTACACTATCAGTGATTCTGTGAAAACGAAGACACGGGAAAATGTAACTTCTGAGATTAAATTGAGATTCTTCTCTCTAACTGTTTTAGACAGCCTGCATGGAATGGTATGTTTTCTGAAATAGTACACTCTGGAGTTTGGATCTTTTAACTTGCTATTGCCTTCTTTATGATATATTTTTAACCTTCAGATGACACCGCTATTTGATTTGACGATTGCCAACATCAAGTTGGTGACACATGGTCGGCCGGAGGCTATGAATTCAGTCCTCATTTCTTCTATTGCTGCTTCAACCTTTAATATGCAGTTGGAAGCGTGGGAGCCCTTGGTTGAGCCCTTTGATGGCATATTCAAGTTAGTTTCTGCCTCTTTCTAGTTACAATTATTCGCCTTCTATGGGAGTGTCGAAGAAAAAAGTAAACCAGCTGTAATGCATTTGTTAAATATTATTAATGTTTTAACCCTCAAGGTTTGAAACATATGATACCAATGTGAATTCATCATCAATGCTTGGGAAGAGGGTGCACATTGCTGCTACCAACATTGTGAATATAAATGTCAGTGCGGTGAATCTTGATACTTTAGTAGAAACCATTCTTTCATGGAGACGACAGTTAGAGCTTGACCAGAAAGCAACAAAGCTGACTGAGGTAAATTGTACCACAGTTTTGCTTTATGAAGATGCTTAGTTGATTATGATACTATGTACCTTAAAATATCTAACTTGATGTTCTATCACAGGAGGCTGATACTCATTCTGGAAGTGAAGATCTAGCATTTTCAGCCCTGGATGAAGAGGATTTACAAACTGTGGTAGTAGAGAATAGACTTGGGAACGATCTGTTCATTAAAAGGATTGAACAGAATTCAGAGGTGGTTGACCAACTTCATGATGGTGACTTTGCTTCTGTCTGGGTCCCACCTGCAAGGTTTTCAGATAGGCTAAATGTTGCTGAGGAAGCTAGGAAAGCACGCTATTATGTTGCTGCACAGGTTCTTTTTGCCAAGGTTCTAAAATGCAACTCATGGTCCTTTTTTTCTGAGATTATATGTTCATGTGTTATCTGGTTCCTTTTGAAATGACTGATTAATATTTGACAGGGCTTACCTATAGTGGATGACGGTAATAGCCATAACTTCTTTTGTGCTTTACGCCTTGTCATTGACAGTCAAGCAACAGATCAGCAAAAACTTTTCCCGCAGAGTGCAAGGACAAAATGTGTGAAGCCCTTAGTTTCAGACAAAGAGTACCCGAAGAAAGGCATTGCAAAGTGGAATGAACTTTTCATATTTGAAGTTCCCCGTAAGGTCTGTTGTGTATTTACCAATTTTATTCCTTTTCTTATTGTTGTTTATGCTTCTTTACTGTTTTTGGATGATTATTAGACCTGGAATATGCTTATCCATGGAATTTGAGATAAAAAACCTAGGAAGACACAAGTATTTCCTAGGAATTGAAGATGCATATTCAAAACATGGGATTTTAATCTCCCAACGAAAGTATATCTAGGATTTGCTCGAATAAATGGGTATGATGGGTTGCAGACCTTCAAGAATTTCTATTGATTATCATCACAAGCTAGGATAAGCTAGGTGATGATACAATGTCCTTCAATACATCAGGCACACCTGGAAAAAAAAGTTCTATTCAAAGGAAATGGAATTCTCAATTTGGAGGCTTACACCGACCCAAATTGAGCTGGATCCATCTTAGATAGAAAATCCACTTTAGGGTACTATAAGTTTCTTGGAGGAAACCTTGAGCAAGAAACAATCAATGATCTCTAGGTCGAGTGTCGAAGTTAAGTTTCGAGCAATGACTCAAGATATATGAGAGTTATTATGGATAAGAATTGTATTAAGGGATTTGGAGGTAAAACATGAAGGCGTTATGAAATTGTACTGCAACAAGTTAGCTATCAATATCGCACACATCGTGTACAACACAACCGAACAAAACATGTAGAAATTGATCATCATTCCATTAAGGAAAAGCTCGAGAATGAACTCATTTGCACTCCATATGTTCCTACCCATAGACAAGTAGCAAACATCCTAACGAAGGGACTCTCAAATACAATGTTTCAAAACATCACCAACAAAATGGGAATGAAAAACACCCACTCAACAGCTTGAGAAGGGGTGTTTACAAATATGACAGATATTTTGACTCGGTTTTTTAGGAAGTCATATTCCTAAAAATATGGCAGTGAAAAGGAATAGTTTCCTAATCTGTTGAGTCAATGCAAGTTGTGTATTGGGCTGTAAAAACCCAAAATACAGATTTTCCACTTTTGCTTTTGTGCAGTTTGGAAATGAGGATGGTTTGAGAAGGGCTGTAGAAAATCTTAATGGAGCGATCATAGATGGGAGAAGGATCACGGTTGGAGTCGCAAGATACAATGAATCCTGAGCATGGGTAGAGCGTAATAATAAAGATTTAAAGAAGGATGCTTGTCCGATCACTGCTGATATTTCGAATCCAAAAGAGCCAGATGATGTTCTTAGAAGTTTGAGGGATGACAGATCGTACAAAGATACATTGATGTCGAACAGGAGGTCGAGGAGTGTTCTGGAGGTCAAAGATATGGCCGTCGATGCTGAAAACAGGGAAAAAGTCAGGAATCATTGACGGGGATTATCAAGAATTTATTTGAGTTAGAGTTAGTTCATAATGCTTTAGTTAATGAAGGCTATGACGTCCAGATTGTTAGATGGGGGTATGTCTGGAACTCTTGTGTAATAATCTTTAAATCAGTTGAAGAAATGTCAGATGCTTGGATGAAGAAGAAAGAAGATCTTCAATTTTGGTTTGATCGTTTAGAGCCATTACTGAACGAAGATGGTGTTCCTTTGGCTTTTTGCTTGGTGGAGTTTTTTGGGTTACTTCTTTTATGCTGGAATGAATCTTTCCTTGAAAGGTTAGCAGGGAGATGGGGAAGGGTTCTAGATATTCTTGATGACACGAAACACAAGGAAGATCTTACAAAGGCAAGATTGCTAATTAGGGTGGCTAGTCCTTTTGTTGTTCCAGATCAGATTACTATTGGATCATATGGAATATCTTTTAAAGTAACAATGAAGATTGGATCGGCGAATGATGAGTCTATTTTCTTTTCCACAAATCCTCCGGTGGTCAGTTCTGATGAGGGATAGTTGGGAGCGTTCATGTCTGAGAACGAAGGAGACAGGATACAGTCAGAATATGAGGAAGGTTCTGCTAGATCAGAAGAAGAAAACTGTCAGAGAGTGGACATTTGGATGGAACAGGGCGCAACTATCAGGCTTGGTGGAGTTGGTGGAGATAATCGGTTTCCAAGAATTTCAAAAAATAGATCAGACATTAATGGAAAGTTAGTTGTGCAGTATGGAGGGAGTGTCAAAGTGGGTGAGTTTGCAAGTTTGGGATTGAGAGATTCAAAAATGATGGCTGCTGGGTCAGAAGCCCAATCAGAAGAAGATGAGTTTGCTAGGCCTAACGTAATGAGGATTATTCCTGCTGGGCCAAAAATTAAAATTGATAAATTTGGGAAAATGGTTCAAGATCAGGATTTGGCTAAGTCAAGTTGTTACAGCAGAGAAGATGTGGGGAGGAGGTCAGATTCAGAGATAATTGAGCAGGATGGTTTTCGAGCCAAGGATTCTGAGTTAAGGGTGATAGAGCCTACCATTGATAATTCAGGAAGCAAAGTTAAGGGTAGACTGTGTTATAAGTCTGACAGTTCGTTAAGCACCAAAAGTGTACCGTTAGAGAAAAGGAAAAGCAGAAGTTACAAAAGGTGTAGGGGCAGAAAATATTGGATGGGAAGTATCTTGAATTTTAAGCCTGAGAAAGATAGTACCTTAATCGTCAGGGACTGGAAAAATATGAATTCCAAAGGAAATCAACTGGATAGCTTGTCAGTGGATGCAGAGTTTCAGGGTTGTGAGGATGTGAATGATGGATCGAATTCGGGTATGAGTGTGGAAAGGGTGGTTGAAGGATTGCAGTTAATGGGTGATAATCACAGCTTTGAATCAGGTTTTTTTATCAGAAGAGCTAGAAGACATTTGTTAAGGGAAGCTTTAGAAAGAGTGAGCATTTCAACAGCTTCCTCTTCAGGTTTTTCAGATTTATTGGATGAAGCTTTAGTTACTTGGGAGATAAGTAAGCTGTTGGGTATTTCCTTTAAACAAGGACAACAAGCCTTTTTGGATAAGATTATTAGTCTGGAAAAAGGCTTGAGGATGGACAAGAAGGGGGATTTTGCGAGGGGACTAGTTGATTGATTTCTTTATGATGATGTTAAAGATATCTATAATAACATGGAATGTTAGAGGATTGGGTAGATTAGAGAAAAAAAAAGGGTTGTTCAGAGGCTAGTTTCCAAATATTGTCCTCAATTTCTTTGGTTGCAGTAAACAAAATTGGAGAAAATTCAAAGGTCTTTTTTGAGGAGTGGGTTAAATAATTTGAAAGGGGTTATTGAGTCACCATCGGTTGGTTCGTCAGGGGGTTTACTGTTGTTCTGGGATGATAACGTATTTGAGTTGCAAAATCAGTGTACATCCAGAAGATTCATTGCTATATCGGGGAGATTTCGGGAAAATAATTTCAGTTGCAGATTCATTAATGTGTATGGTCCTTCGGTTGAGGAGGAAAAAGAGAGTTTTTTTTGAAGAATTAAGCACGTTCATTGGAGGACATTCTGAGCCTATTTGTGTTGGAGAGGACCTTAATGTGTATCTACAGGAAGATGAGAAGATTGATAGAGGCCAAAACAGGATTTCTTTAGAGATTTTCAGTCGTTTTCTTCTTACTATAGGTCTAATCGATTTGCCATTGAGTGGAGGTAGGTTTACTTGGTGTAATAACCAAGATTCACCGACCTATGTAAGGCTGGATAGATTTTTGGTTGATTTAACACAGTCTTTGCTGCCAAGATCATTGTCAGATCATAATGCAGTAATAATTGAGAATGGAGGTGTTAATTAGGGGAAAAAGCCGTTTAAACTGTTTAACTATATGATGGATGAAGTAGGTTTTGAGGATGTGATCAGTTCTTCAATTCAAGAATGTAAAGAGATACAGATGAATGCTGGAATTTTCAAAATTCTAAAAAAAACCAAAACTGCCATTAAAAATTGGGCAGGGAAGAGAGAAAAGTTTCCTGGAGCTTTAATTTCAGAAATAGAATTGAAGATTCAAAAATTAGAAGTGGAGGTTCAATAGCATCAAGATGGAACTTATGATGAGAAAGCGGCTGAGTTAAAGGAGTTAAGGTCAGAATTATGGAAGTTGCATAAGATAGAGGAGCAGATTTGGTTCCAGAATTCTAGATCCAAATGGGTAGAAGATGGGGACAGAAATACCAGATTCTTCCATACATGTGCTTCAATTAGGAGGAAAAGAAATGCGTTGAATGCTCTTATTTGCAGGGGTAATGTTATTCAAGACACAAGTTATAAAAGCCACTTTTAAAGAACACTTCTTTAAGGCTTTTAATGACAAATCGACCTTAGAAGTGAAAGAAATCGAGTTGAATTTTTCCAAAATTTCGATTCAGCACTGAAGAGGAAATATGGGAGACCTTAAAGTCTTGCAATAGCAACAAAGCCCCGGGGCTGGATGGTTTTAATTTGGGTTTTTTCAAGAGATATTGGCATGTACTTAAAGGAGAAATTATGAAGTTCTTCTTCAACTTTTATTCGGGGAAAGATTGGGATCATGGCATCAACCATACCTTTATTACTCTTATTCCTAAGGTCTCTAACAGTGGTGACCTTGATGATTATAGGCCTATTAGCTTAGTTGGTGGATTATATAAGATCCTATCTAAGTGTCTATCGAGGAGGTTGAGGAGCTGTATTTCAGACTTAATTAGTCCTACTCAATTTGCCTTCACCCAAGGGAGACAAATATTGGATTGTTCTTTAATTGCGAATGAAGGGGTGCATTATTGGAGGAAAAATGGTCTTAAAGGTTGTGTTTTCAAGGTAGATTTCAAGAAAGCGTATGATTCGGTGGAGTGGGACATTTTGTTTCTAGTAATGGAGAAAATGGGATTTGGTTCCAGGTGGAGAGGTTGGATCAGAAAGTGTGTAACCACAGCTTCAGTTTCTGTTTTAGTGAATGGAGTTCCTACTGAGGAATTTGCAATGGCTAAAGGTCTTAGACAGGGGTGCTCTCTATCACCTCTGTTGTTTAATTTTATTGGAGAACTTCTCAATCTGCTAATTGTGAAGGCTGTGGAACAGGGTATGTTTTCTAGACTGGTTTTAGGAAGGGATGTTGATACTTTCAAATTATCTCATCTACAGTTCGCGGA